TTGTATTTAGGTACATTTATACAACGTAGAAATACTGAAGTACTTATTTAGTATCGTATAGCTCATTCGTATAGAACTTTAAAGTGAAATTGCACGAGATTTACAAAGTTAATTAAAAGTTTTGTTGAGTTTTAAATACATAATATGCATATTGCATATTTATAATAATGTAGAGATGAATGATTGATTTGCCGTAGCACCATAAATACTACAAATATCTTTTTTATTTCATTTATTTATTTATATAAAACCTTACCTAAACTCTCATGATAGGTTTATTCATTGCGATAGCTAGGCCTTAAAAAACTAAATCTATGTTACGTCCAAACATAACAAAATCATAAAGAAAAACAAAAATGAACAAATTCATGGCTAAACTAAACTCAATAATTGAAAATACTAAAATACAAATAAAAATATCACCTTCCCACACAGTGACACATAAGTACAGGTAACATATATACAGAATTACAGACATCTGCTATAAATAGTATAAGCACCTACCTACATTAAGGTAAACGAATGTATCAGAATTTTAATCAGAAACTGATTTAGCGGTGGAGAACTCTTCAACCCATAAAAGTAACCGACAAAGGGAAAGGTCAAGTACGATATTCGCATTTCTTACCCCTTACCCGCACCCTAATAGCACTCGACCTTAACTCTCAATAACCCTTTTTGCACTCGCGTATACTTTAACCAATAAGGTCAACGGTTTCATTAAGACATGAGAATGTCGCGCCGTAATAGGATATTTTATTTATGTACTTTGTTGAAAGAGGAATGTTTTTGTAAATAATCGATTGGAAGTCCATTTGTCATAATGTCTTATAGTTATGGAGTGTTAGTACAGTTTGTTTTTAAATATAAATACTACCTCTGACTACCTCGTTGGCCGAGTGGTCGGGTTCGGTTCGATTCCCGGGTCGGGCTAAATAATACTACTGGGTTTTTAAAAAAGTCTAGAATTGTGCCCGGTATATGACAATAGGCTCACCCCCTATTACATGGTACTCATAACACAAATAGTGAAAAGTGGGTTTTACATTGTACAGTGGCATAATGTGCACCTCTGACTATCCCTTCGCGATAAAAGGCGTGATGTTATGATGATGATTTAACTATAAATAACTACATTTCGGTCTGGTGTTCTTACTGAAAGTAGGTTAATTTACACAATTTATTTAATAATAAGTGGTAGTTTTGTTTAATGCCAAGAAAAATATTTGTTACAAACATTTACAAATTGATACAAATAAAAATTGTTATAAACATTAAAATATGTTGTAAGGTGTGTAGATTCACTTAATATCAACTAAACTAAGGATACCCAAGTCCATAATGTATGTATGACAGTACCGAAATAGTAAATTCATATGGGTTATAAAAAACATACATCATTATGACACATAAAGTATGTTATCATGCATTAATATAATTACACCTATTCTGACACGTGCACGGCCGTCAATCAAACAAATAAATAAGTAATTCTAATTTTGATAAAAGTGTATTAGCCCAGCGACTACTTTTGATGATTTTCAACAGGTTAAGTACAATTACGTAACAATAACACTACTTATAATTATAGTGATCTTGAACTTACTATATTTTGTTGTAATATATCACATCAATAATAGTGCTAAGCTAAAAGCATTATACTAGGGATCTACATAATTCGACACTAGCGCCTCTATAAATTTTATCTTCTTTCATGTTTTGCAGTCCTTAAATCTAAAACCTCTAAACGAGCAATTCATTCCCCCAACGATTTTCTTAAAAATTGTATTTTTGGGGTTTCGGGTGCAATAAATCGGTATAATTAGGTTTCATTTTCAGAAAAAAAACATAGACCAAAGCCCGCTCATCCATTTATACTGCTACAAAATACACTCAAGTACATGAATATGTACAGTTAAACTATTATCATAACAATACCTACTATTTTATAATGCTAATTTGTACTGCACAAAGGCCCTGCATCTCCGAGAATCGCATATGCTACATCTGCGGAGCTGCTTTTAAATGCTTTTAGATAGAATTTCCATTTGCGAAGCTCTTTGATGTGTCTTCCACAAGAATATGGTATATTACTGGCTACCCAATTAGGATATAGAGGTAATTGTTTTTGCTATTGTGAACCAAAAAGGGACTGTAATGCAATATTTTAATGCGTTTGTTGAACTAAAATTCATGTCTTTTGCTGTCTAATCAAATTGGTCAATTTAAAATCAATTTCGTTCCCATTGGATTATTATTTCAATCTATAGATAACCGTTTTTACCTTCCCAAGTTTGTATTCCAGATGTTTCTGTTAAATCAAGTGTAATACATATATACATACATAACTTCACGCCTGTCTCCCATGGTAATAATCTGATTAATTTTATCTATTTATGTATGGAACTTGTACCTAAGTTACTTATAGTTGCACCCACCAAGCAAATCCTTCTGCCCCACTTTCGCTCTATCAGAAATAATCTACAAAGCTCTCCATCTTTCACGTTCAATTTATTTCAAAACTCAATTTAAAATGTGCAGCGATTTTGTAGAGCATTTTGAGATAAGTCCCGCCAGCTTGTGACGTCATCTACAGTTTGAACTAAGCTTGTTTTCCCAGACACTTTGTTTATTCAGCACTTTCCTTTAGTTGAAGATCTGAGTAAGTGGGCTTGAATAAGTAAGGAATCTATAAGATCTCATTCGACGATTTAAAAAAGGAATTCTTTGCAGATTTACCTATTTCAAAAGTGCTCAACGTAACATTGCCCGTAAGTTATTAACATTCTTTCCTTTGATAGATTATTTATATCAAATTCAATGTTTACGTCAATACAAAATTGATACCGGTGATATGTATCTACATGAATGACAGCTAAGGTCGAAAGCTTTAAATAACGAGTTTCCCTACCATGTAATTATTTATTAAATTCCAATTTTCCACTCAACTCGATAGGTACACTTTCTAACCCATAATAACCATAGGAAGATCTGATAAAAATTGGTCACGATATCGCGTGTATCTTTTATTTTCCACGAAGTACGTACCCATTGAGTTTAATATAAACCAATTTCCCGAAAATCGAGAGCGAGCCAACGAAATTCTTTTTCGACATCGCTTATTTATCTTGATTCCACCGACACGGGCCGTCGCTCAGTGATTAGCAATGGTGCCCGGGAGAATCCAAGATGGATCCCGATTCCCGAAGCAATTTCCACACTAATCCGATATCTGTACCTGACCTAATTCTCCTCTTCATATGGTGACGCTAATGTAACAAGACTGACGAGGTAAGCAAGTGGTAATTAGGAGCCACGGTGTGACTATTAGCGAGAGGAAGACGTAAACGTACTGTCATTATCACGCATCTGCTGGGCGATAAATGATTATACTGTGTTAGTGGCTCTGCTTATGGAGACTGACATTGCGAATGTTGGAAATTGCTTTTGAATTGCATCTTGCATGTGCCATCTGTCAGTATTATTTATAAAGTATTATAAAGATGATGATGACTCAATTAGAATGATAGGTTTATTCTCATATATGATGTTATACCTACGTTTAATTTATTGTATTGTTTTTGTGATAATATTAGCATTCGAAAGAGTTAATCCAATCATTATAAAACCGATCCAATGACCTATTACCGGAATGAACAAAAATTACAAAAATAAAACTTTCCACGTGCGTTTTATAGGGCATTAATGTGTAAATAGCATGTCACGCCGGATATAATTATTAATATTTATTTGTTAAGTTCGACCTTTGTGTTAAGGTGTCGTTTATAACATACTATCAAGAAGGTCATCCGGAAACATAATAGTACATTATGGTCCTGGTATTGTTATAAAATCCAATAAGTACAACGCTTTTAACTATTTCGCTGCATGTTTTCATTTTAATGTTGGTCTACACGCCATTAGAAACGCGTTCCACCGAAAGAGGTCCAATGTCATTTAAAAATAGAGTTTGATTGAATGCAATCATCCTGCACATCAGGTGCATTAACTGAAGGAAACCGTTTACCGCTGCCTTCCTCCGTAGATAAGACATTCCTGACACTATAAAGGTCTAATGGGCCACATCCATCCACTCCGACGGAAATATCCTTCAAAACCTCAATTGCTGTCATATACTTAGTACATGTGTACACTTTATATTTGTCATAACCCTTCAGAGATACGAAATACGGTCCCATTGCTCCCGTATTTACGTGAGGACGTAACATGTCCTGAATTCAGGTCAGACTCGTCCTTCCCACATTTTTATGGGCAATATTAAACTTTTGCAAATTTTGGTATGTGTTTTATGAGTAAAATGATTGCAAACAAAAACTTTTGGAATGTTATAAAACATGCGTGACTGTAATTATGATGAAAGCTTAAATAATCGATTGTTTAGTTTTTTTCATGTGTGAGTAATGTAACGTACTATATTTCATATCGTAATGATACCATTAAAATAATGTGTTTCTACTACACCCCTGAGTCAAACATGTGGTTAAGAAAATTGACCCATAAGCGTTCAAATGTCTTACGTAACATTTTTTTATCGAAAATTGCACTGCAGTTCATATTTTTCATTTCAATTAACGACAACAAGGGTTAATTAACATTACTCGTGTTACAATATTGACACAGGTAGTTGTTAACTAGGCCCAACATGTCACGCAATGCCACACCCACATCCAAACAAATAGGTACTCCACTTCTCAAACTACGGACAAGTGTACATCAGCTGTTCAGCCTCCTTGAGCCTATCGGCGTGCCACACATCCATCGCTCCTTTGAATTCCAATAAATTTAACAATACGCCCGTAATACCAGCAATGTATTCAAACTATTTAAGATACGATATGATTTTCTTGAAAGTCATGCTTACAATAGGCATTTTCATCTGAGTAAGCGAAACTTGAATAGAGCAAAGAAGAAATGTGTCATCGTATCAAAATGATTGTTGAAACCACTAGAATCTGATAGTAAGGGTGTGTGAACGGAGCATGCGCGCTACCCAAGGACACGCGCCGCGCCTCAGTCTGGCGGGAGGCAGCGCCGCGGCCGCCTGCCCTCTCGGACCCAACCTCCATGTCCCACGATGCGGAGTGCCGCAGTGGCCGACGCGTAAGTCCGACCCGAACACCGCATGCCAGACCCAGCTCGAGACCCGGCACCGGCCCGCAGAGCGACCTTAAGCTCGGAAGCCCCGCGGTCGCTCCGATTCAGTCTTGTAATTGGATTTTGTCGTTCGATAAGCAACGTTATTCTGATTTGATTGGCGAACGCTTTCCGCTTCGATATTGCAGCTTGCTTCTTTCACTTCTTCGGGAGGCTCTCGTAGCTTTAAGTGTAGCCGCTTTAGTTGTATCGAATCGAAACATTTGTTTCATATCGAATGTGATATGATAACTTACGTAACGTACTATAACGGAGCTACTGGTGCATCACGATGCGATTGTAAGATCGGCATACGAGTGTAGGATAGAGCGGACACTGGACGTGAGTGGAACAGTTAGTGGACATGACTTGCTGGGAAAGTGTAGGACTGCTGGGGCCTTGTGCGCTACTTGCCTCCTCAGATGTCAGGGTGAGTTCGTACCCCAAGGAAATCATTGTCACCAAATGTTCTACTTCCGTTACTTAATTATTTGTTTATTTATCCAAAAAGAAATTAAACGTAATTTTCTGGAATTAATTACCTCATACACTTTTCATTTCCGTAATTTTCTACTTCATTTAAATTCTTCATTCACAGTTTGTTTAAGATGTGTTACGATAAATAAAACAAATAAGAAATGTCATTAGACATTGCTTATTCATATACTAATTACACCATGAACAACTAATTAGCAAAACAAATATATCTTTCTTAAACGAAACCTTCGTGCAGTCGGTTAGTATTATTTGGACTTGAGTGTTGTGAAGTGTTCAGTGAAATGGTGTCAATACTGTTATTGACCACAGAAGAGATACTCCAGAAAAATAGTTTTTGGCAGTGTTTGGATACAGTTTGGTTTACTGAAGAATTAGAACCTTTTGAAGAAGTTAAGGCAGAACATATATTTATAAAACCTCTATCAAGAGACTATTACTATACAAGATACCCAGACATACCCAGAAGTGAATCGGATGACGAAAATTCTTTAAGTTTAATCGGATTCCAAAGTAAACACGAAGAGTGGAAATCAAAGATCAGCGTGAGAAGATTCTGTGCACAGCGACGTAATTTAAGACATTCTCGTTTGAGTTGGAACGGAATTAGATCTGCAAGGAATAATTCGATTAATAATGAACCAAGAAGAGCTATTTCTTTAATAGAAAATAGGAGTAGCAATATTTCGCTTTCCACAAAAAGCTGCATGAGTTTTGAAAATGAAAAACCTTCGAAAAGTAATGATGAAAGAGTCAGAGATTTTTTCAAACGTCTATTAGAAAGTGTACCACCGCCTCCACTAGAAACACAGATAGATTCATTACCAGATATTATTTCCTGTTCTATCGCCAAGCCAACGAAATATCAATCCGAGCTTAGTAATGTCGATATTCCCGGATATGCAGATTTTGAAAGGGATAAAATATTACAAACCGAGAATGAACGCGGTTTATTACCGACTTCTTCTACTCTTAAGAAAGCTCAACGAAGAGTCAGCTTTAATCTTAACACTTCAAAGGCTGAATTTGAAAGTAATGAATCGTGGTATGATTCTATCTATGGAATATCAGGTATAATGATGGCGACTTCGGTAGAAAATATAATTGCGGACGCTGATGAAAATCTTGACGATCAAGATTATTATCCATCTTGGTCTGAAATATTAATGGAGTGCAAAGTAAATCATAGTAATATACGCAGCAAAGAATCTTCCTTGACTAGTGAAGAGTTATTAAGTCGCTCACATGTTGCTGATGCTAAGGTTATCGAATTAGACAATTCTATCGACGAAGAAACTGAATATGCAAGATTTGCTATTTATAAAATACACCAAACTATGACAATACAAGGACATATGCTTGATTCGTCATCAATGGTAGATTTAACCAAATATGAATGTAATTTAGATAAAAAATCACAGAAAGATCCCGCATTTTTTGGAACTGTATATCGCCTAGCCCATAATTCTTTTGACGATAGTCAGGAAGTTTTATGACGCCGTGAAGTAGGTGAAAACAAATATTTTAATGCATTTTATACACTATATTAGTCTGTGTAGAATTGTAGAGTAAATATTATTAAATAATAAATCGATTTAAGTTACCATGACTGGTTTATCGTAATATTTTTCATTTGTTACTCGACTTTTGCTTTCCTACGCATTTAAAATATTACTTATACTTATATTTTATGTCTAAAAAATGCTAATTAAAGTACTGCCTTTGTGAATGCTTTTTGAAAAAAATATATAGGTAAATTACTTAATTGTCTTTATTTATACTGACTTAAATGTACATGGTTTAAAATAGTTGCCTGAATTTTAATATTATTTCAATTGTTTCAGCCTCCAGAGAACGAACTGCAGAAGAATTCAGACCGCGTGCTTTCTGAGCACGAATTGCGAGTCCAGAGATCGTTGCAGAAGCTCAATGTGCCGGAATGGTGAGTGAGAAATTAATTCTAGTCATTATAAACCATATCTTTTAACATATAGGCCAGACCACTATAGGTTATCGAAAGGGCAATCAACATCTAGCCGGGCTATGTAGGGTAATGACAGATATAACCTGCACTTTGATGTTTTACTAGATTAGTCACGGCTTTCTAACTAATTTCTATATTTATTTATGTAATGAATTCCGTGTTATGATTAAGGTATCTTATTAAATTTTATTACGTCTAGTCTAGCAACTAACAAATTATTTGCTCCATAACTAATTCCATAAAGCAAATAAGCCAATATTTTTCTAGATATCAGCTAGACATGAGCATTAAACCTATAGGCACGTTTCGCTTCGCTACCAATCATGTCAAGGCTTTAAGAAAGGCGTTCGATGAATTGTAGCACGACTTTATCCGAACTACTTTTAAAATCTCTGTCGTATTATGACTGATTCACTTAACTCTGTACAGATAAATGTTTAAAATGTTTCTGAGCCCGATTCAAACATTTGAAAACATCATAATTATGTCAAATTCTTATTTTTAATGCTGCAAGGTTCTATTTTAGGACCAATTTTTTTTACAAAAACTGAATACTTACACAAACAAGTTCTTGTTACTACATATTGTACCTACTTACGTAATAACAAAAGTATGTGATTAATTTTAAATTTTACCACAAAGTTGCTGATTTGTGCTCATCGTACGTTTAGTTTTAGAAAAATCAAAGAAGTATATTAGACTATATTAACTGTTTAAAAATAATCGTAGTATATTTCAAAAATCACATTTCATATTACGTAGGCATAATTCTGGTTACGTAAAAGGTGTTCGTTCATACGCGATAATGGCCAAGTTTCATGCTTAATCCTCATAACTGTCTCCCAGGCTCACGATAATGAACCTCTAGTCGGTCTTTATTGTAATTAACGATACTCTAATTGCATCTCGTCTAGCTGAATTACACGTGACCTAAGCTAACCTTTATATGGAAGCTTGTTTATGATAATGGCTACTAGGTTTACTTGTATCGTCACTTCACTTACAAAATACAACAAAGTCATATCCTCAAGGAATACTTAGGCAGGATGTGTACTTGCAGTGCTCCCACTCGTCACCCGTTTATGCTGTTAGTCCCATTGCAAACCAAGTGGAGACATTATCAAACATTAGTCACAATTTCTGGGCAGCATAATTTCGAAATTGAAGATTCCTTATAACTTTAATACTTATAACTTGTAGTCGCAGACTTGGCAGTTACATTTTTGTAAATAGGTACTCAATTTTAAAAATGTACCTAAGACCTTACGTGTCCTCTACTATACACATGCTTGATACAAAGCTCCCAGTTGCTCATGGTGAAGGCTTCTTACAAATTACAAAAAAGTGCATGTTTTCTCCACCGTCGCGACGGCTCGGGTGATTGCCCTCTTCATGTCTACACTGTAACTGAAAGGAGCAATACTTTTACCTTAGTAAAAACTTAACTACAAAATTTTCAATACTGGGAATATTTCCTACATCTCTATAACCTTTTTATATAACAAGTTATTTAATTATCTAATATAATTACGATGTGAATAATCTTTAATACGTTTTTATACATCCTTATTAACGGTAACGGAACATCTAGTTATTTACATAACTATGAGTCGCGTTTATGTTATAATTTTTACGACTTATAAAACTTGAATACGTTGACAACTCTTTAATTCCTGTAATACGCTGTTTGCGTGGCTAAACCGTTACGATTATCGCATTATCTAGCCGGTTACTGTCAATTAATTAAACAGTAATTAACCTATTGACTTCGTTCCTTTATTTAAGACATTTAATTGAATATTAGGAACGTGTTTTAGTTTGCAAATAACTATTTGCGTTTGCAACTTATGTTTACATACTAAAATCTTCAAATATTTATGTGTTTTGGACGTATTTAGGACGTTGTTAATAATGTGTTTATTTTAGAACACTCAGTGTTCTCGGGTCGTATTTGCGTAGTTTTAATTACAAATATTTTGAACGATCCATATGTATCCCAAATTCTTGAGATATCTCGGTTCACAGAACTTGTATGACTCGTCATATGAGCAGAAAATCACATTCTTTTCCATCAACTCTATACTCTTTTCGTATGTACCGTTGTATTGTGACCATAATATCATTTTATGATTATTTAGTCATCTCATTTATACAGGAGCAACTTAATCATACAGTTTATATATATTTCAGGTACAAAAACGCACCAGCGCCCCGAGAGGGCTTCCTTCTCCGCAAACGCCTGTCTGACGCGTCCGCTTCGGCGGCGCGCTGGAGCGGACTCAACTCGAAGACTACATCGCTGGGCAGCCTTGGAGGGAACCAGCAACCACCCCCACCCCAGCTGTCACCACACACCACCAGCTTCGGCCGATGGTCTACTAGCCGGCTTAATTCTAACCAAGTAAGTTTTTATCTGAAAAGTGTCATAAGCATAACAGATTATAAACCATAAGAAAATTTTACAGTTCAGGACAGCCTGATGATCCATATGTGTGAGTGATAATGTGCATTTTTCTAATCAATAGACCCCATTGAAGATATTTGAAGTCGTTGTGGTTATCTCACAAGAAAGCCTTTATCTCCTAAGTAGTTCACTAACCTCAATAAAGCCTAGGACGGTCTATTGGTCTAAGACATTGCATTCTTCGAAGCTCGTCACCTTCATACGGCTTCTCTCGTCATTTCTTCGTAACGGTTCATTCACCGATTTATTCTTGTTATGTAAACGAGTCTATTGTACGCACTAATACTTGATTGTGTTGTTAGAATTTTAATGGGATCAGCCAATCGTCCGTAAAATGACCAGTAGTTAAATGTTAAAAAAAATAGGTTCTAATACTAATGATGCGTGACTACACTTCCTTGCTGAGACAATGAATCTTAATTGCGGGAAGAATTACTTAATTTTGGTCATTACAAAAAAAAAATCGAAGAAGACGGGTTTTTACAACTCGTAAGGTAGATTTCATGAACAGGATTTTGTGTAGAATACATTACACACGCATATTAGATCTATGGCTAACAGATAATTTCTATTTGATGACCCATTTGTATAACTTTAAAGCTCCATAACCAAATAATCAGATAATCCTATCATTTAATGGACACTAATCGTCCTGTTTGTCAAATAAAGTTCAGTTACGAGGTTTTTACGTTATCAGTAATCAAACAGTGATTATAGTATCTAGTTGTACGCATGGAAATACACATTAGCAATTAAGTTCCCCTATCTGATTATATTGATCTGACATATTTTAGGTATTCATACAAAGAGTGTTCTGAAACTACTACCTATACGCTATTATTTTGCTGGAATTATTGCTTTTAATTTGCAATACATTTTTCTACCTATACTAGGTAGCTATAGATAGAAAAAAAAAATGTAAATACCTATAAGTTACTTAACTTATGTTTTCTCTGTGCAGACATCCCCGTGCTCGTCAACACGAAGCAGCATTAGGGGCACAAGTCCTTTGTGCTCGCCCTCAGCGCGCTCTTCGTTCAGCGCTCGACAGCCCTACCTCGGCTGGAGAAGTCAGGAGCGGCTCAACAGCACACCGCGGACACCACATGAGAGGTAAGCCATCTGAATTACCTCGAATAAAAATAGTTAAATAGCCCTAAATCTGAATTCTTCTGAAGTTTACTTTCAAAATTGCAAAGTGTATCTGTTACCAAATTATCAAAACATTTACATGTTTTTATAAATTTTTCAGGCTAGCATCTTCGTTACTCCAATCAACACCTAAATCAGAGGCATCTGAAGCGTCGAAAGCATCAGAAGAGATCCAGACTTCGATCAAAGAAGTGACGTCTGCGATAGTACACTACGTGTCAGGATTGGAACCAGCCAATGGTGACATCGACAGGCAACCTTCACCGAGGTCCAGTCAGAAGTTATATTGGCTCGAGAGCTCCTTTGTTGGTAAGCAACTATGCAACTATATAATTATGTAATAAGAATTTCCTAGAAATTCCTTACAAGAACAGAAACTTACAGTGGTAGTGTGATGAAAGGATATTAGCTGGAAAATTCTGACAAAAGCTATTCATAAATCGTCTAGTTTTACCAATTCAAAATTTCCAGCTCATAATTTTCCTTCAACTTTACGTGTTGATAAAAATCTACCTAATTTGTTTGAGTTTCGTGAGTGCTCGGTTATACAGTAACAATATTTCTATTTGACCTGTTTCGTGAAACATTCAACAACCTTCAGCATTACAATAATGTGAACTATCGTTCAACAATGTTGACAATAAACTGAGCTGTCACGATCACGATTTCGAACAAAAGTCGACTGATGCAGTTATTTTATATGCTAACTGAAATAGTTATTGGAAAATACCATTCTAATATCCGTTTATTATTAGAAACCTCTAAATCTTGTCAGAAAATTCTGTTATAGACGTTTTATGGCGGTGATCATTTTCAATTTCTTTAAACAAATTTTTAACTCTCGATGTCTTATTTATCTACTAGTCTATTAAATTTTATGCGTCTTACGTTTCAGGCACGAAACCACTGGAATCGCCGCAGACGCCGCTGGTGGTGTCGGAGACCGTGACGCAGCCGCGGCCGCCGTCATCACTGCGCCTCGACTACCGTGCCGCGCCGGGTGAGCGAGCGTGACCACTCACCACTCCACCAAATACACTGCAGGTTCCACTACACTACAAACGACACATTCCCGTCTAAGCAGCATTTGACATGCTAGCATCGAAACTATTCGACACGACGAACGCAACGCGTGGTTTTCACATACCATTGGGTCAAACCAACCCAATGTTTTTGAACTTCCAAGTTCTTTCAATACAGAATTTGATAGTTGCGAAAAATCATGAAATTTGCATTTATGTTTTAAGAAATCGAACCTGCAGTGTTAACACTTTGTTAATTTTTATGTTACGTTAATACTCTGTGCGTTTTTGTGCTGTTCTGTGTATTTAGTTATTTGTGAAATGAACTGGTTCAGTTCTAGAGAAGTGAACGAATTCATTTTGTGAAGACCTATGTGTAATAGAGCTTTATAGACTGTGTGTAAGACTCAGGACCATTATTATACCTATTATATTATTAATTATTATTTGTGTCAATTTATGCACTATTTTTGGACTCCCGTTATCAATTTATTGTTTAAAAGTGTTTATAATTTTTGCGTTGTAAAAGAGCACTCGCTTGTAGACGCTTACTTTTAATTTATGTGTTTGTCACATGCAGCTTTATATTTTATGTCAATATGGCGGTGAATTGACCGACGAGTTTAAAGCAATGTTGCAGCTTACCGATATTATTATGTATTTTATATGTCAGCCGCCTAGTTCATTATTATTATTATACCGTGAACATAAAAATTATGAAAGGTACATTATTATAATGCAATGTTTATTATTGATGCATTTCTTTTAGAAGATTTTCTTATTAATTTTATTATCATTGTTACGGAAATACAGTTTCCATTAATAAATTTTGGTACCTAAATGAAATATATGATTATAAATGAAATAGTCATAGTTAAGATTTTATTTTTGTTTTAGATATTGCCATAATTATAATTTCCATAGTAATCTGACACGAACCAGTAATATCTATTAGTAATAGTTTCGTCCGATGTACAGATTAAATTATTTTTGTTTGTGTGTTTATTTTAATGCAAATCTCTAGTAATTAGTTTAATGGCTAGTTAATATAAATAGTTTTGTAAATAAAATATTATGTTGCTATGTTTTATTTTAGGTGCTAAAACAATTTTATCTGCTTCCAAATCTATATTTCAGTTCTAAATTCGTAAATACAGGCTTTAATAAATGTCACAAAATATTTGAATAACGTAAAAATATATGTTGTTCACATAATATTTTATAAATATATTTTTAAATATGACCAACAGTTATCAGAACCATAATGTGATGTGGTGGTGAGAAGTGACGGTATAAGTCTGAAATCTAGTAAATTTCATGTTCCTTCTACTTAAATCACCTCGTAATTTATGTTGGGGCGAAGCTCCTAAGTAAATTATACAGGTTCTGATTAGGTTAGAAAATACAAAATAAATTTTGCGTTCAAAATTCGCACCGCCGAACTACGAAAGCGTCACGAACTATAGACGACATTAAGGATGTTATAAAATAAAAAAATAAAATGTCTATGACTATTTTATAATGGCCGCCTAGATTTTGTAACATTAAAATGGCGGCAAATGTCACTATACTAGCTTTTACTGCAGCTCTCTACAATTCATTAAATTCCAAATATAAAAGTACCTAAAAGAAAATGTAATATCAGTACGTAGTTATAGGGTATATATATTTGTATGTTAGAATCTCGGTACCTTGTTCATGTTAATGACGGAGACACGATGTTGTCTTCATTATCATTTCAATATTGTACTTTTAGTTACGTTTTAATCATAATGATTATTGAATATATTCATTTTTATTTTATGTGTTTTGTTTTATTTTTATTTCTGTGTACGTGACTTTAATTTATGTTATCATTTATTATTGCTTTATGAGAAAGTCAAGCAACATTATTGGCATTATTCACAGCTTTCGTAATTAACTGGTACAGCACAATTATCCTATCGTTTATTTAAATACGTTTTGAACAAAATGAAAGGGATTATCTCGAATCAGGCTACAAAAACCTCAAAACTCAGTCCGCTTGATTCTCCAGGTATTCCTTAATCAAAATAAAGTTATAGTAATCATAGTTCAAGGTAAGTTCAACGCTTCAACCCTACCACATTAATGGGTAAATGTTGCAAAAGCAATCAATGTGCAAAATTGTCTTCACGAAATAGGCACTTGTCCTTCGTCCATTCTAATAAATCATTGATACCGACTTCCAGACTGGCAAGATTCCCAACGTTCCCTGAACTTAGGTATCACACGACCGTCTCCTGGCTCCACTACTCTTGAAGACGTGTTGGATTCACTCTTGGGGTTGCCGTCACAGCCAGCGAGGATACCAACGCCTCAACCCAGCCCTAGGAAGGCTTCAAGTCCCTATTATTTGATGGGTGGCAAGGTATATTTTATACACTTTTATACTGATTACTAATAAATCAGGACTAATTCAAAGATAAATACAATTTACTGATAGATGCAATGCTATCTATATTGATGCCGTATAACCAAACAAATAAAACGCGATATTCAAATTCCTTTAAAAAAAATTACACTGGTAGAATACCCGAAATAGTCCTACCAGTCCTAAATAACCGTCCTCAGAGTCCTCGGTACGAACAACTGGCCAGTAGCGGGCATAGCAGCGCCTCCCCCGCTTCGCGGTTCCTGGGCACACCCAGCGAAGGGCACAGCTCTATCACGGACAGCCCCGAACACGACCGACCAGGTAGGAACGATATGTAAGTCTGAGCCGTTCCAATTTTTCTATTACATTATCACTCCTTCACTAAATACTAGGTCCAAATATAGTTTCACACTAAGCACAAGTAATCAGGTGTTTATGCTCATAATTATAAATATCTATCTGTTACGCTATCTGACGGATTTACCAGGTATCCTGTCTAGTGTCTAGGCGTATTGTGTAAATGGTTATTTTTCCATCTCACCTTGTTGTTTAATGACTAGGCAGCATGATATGTCCTCCGCGGCATGGTTGTTATTTTGATTTTCCGGTGTTATTTTCAACGTTGGTTCTGAGTCTTACTAGATTTCTCGATGTTAAACCACTAGCGTAAGGAAAGTGTCTTCAAATTGAACAGAAATAAAATTGATATGTTTTATAATTTCAGGCAAGGATACAGTTGATAATCTTGGCGCCATGCAAGAAACGAGACGGCCGCGTTCGGTGCAAGGTGAGCACTCTCGACGGAGAAGTGAGCCCTTTGCCCAAACAAGTGTGTCTCTCGACCGGCGTACCAGCCTCGATTCCGCAGCCTTACGAACTACCGATGCTCACTTAACTCACCATGATTCCAGAGCTTCCCTGGTTTCTTTGCAGACTGAAAATAGTACAGACGAAGCCTTCGTCAAATGTAAATATCCAAAATGTCCTTCTCGAGCCCCATACCCCGACGCCAAACGACATTACAAGACTTGTCATAATTGCACTACGATGTATTGCTCAAAGGAATGCCGCAGGGCACATTGGGAAAAACATAGAAAAGTTTGTTTACACACTCGTGCAAGTACTCTATGCAGACAAATTATATCAGCGGCCAAGGAAGATGCCGACGCTTTGCATCAAATTAGCACCATAGCTCACAAAGGCTATCTAGCCCTAGGAAGAGGTGTTGTTAAAGTATTCTTTACAAGTCCAGAAGCAGCGGAAAAGTTCACCACGCACGGATTCCAGTATTTAAGTGAACCGGAATTTATGAAGTGGACGTCTCTTCAGCCGAATGAAATGGGTGTAGAATTGTACACTGAAGTAGTCAAACTTTGTAAAGCTTACAATCCTGAGACGAGAGTAATTTTATATGTGGCTGTGTGTATTATCAGTGAAGTGCCGACAAAAGGTGCCGTCAAATGGGAAAGGCAGATGGTGTCGAGATGTGCCAAACTACGTCTCAGTAAATCGGTTACCGCCGCTATACAAGAACAAAATAGAAGGCGACATAGAAGAGACAGTAAGTCCACGCCAGAAGACAGAGAAACCCTAATACTGACTTCTAAATTAAGTAACGCGGGTGAGAAAAACGCAGCAACAGCGCACAAGTTTAGACAAATATGTTTCCAAAACATATCGAAAGAGCTCGAAAGTAGAGGAGTGAATTTGAAAAAGCATTTTCCCGAAGTCTACTCAAGATTAGGAGCGTATGTGGACGGTACGAGTGATAGATTTATACCGATGACCATTTACCCGAAAGATGTGACAAGTGGGAAGTCATTCATGTGTGTGATCATGCCGGATAGTGAAGTAGAGAGCGTAACACCTGTAGATGGTAAAGTAACAACAGTAGACGTAGGTGTAGACCGGTCACGACACCAGCTGTCTACTCCCATGTGAGAGTGTTGTATAAAACGTAGGTCGTTACAGTATGCCGCTATGAAAGGCAGGTAACCTAATATCTACCGATAATGGTAGCAATGAAAAAGACATTATGGTTATTGGTGATGATGTATTCCCCAGTACCAGTTCTTCTTAAATATTATTTAAATTTTAATCTCCGAATATGAATCTCGTGTGTGAAATGAAAGTAATGTTAATGTGCCCTTAAAATTGTATTATGATTATGATTTTAGATAAATATATGATGCTACATGCTAATTATAAATAACGCGTTTTAAAACTGCGCATGGTTTTTTCAATAAGTATAAATGAATATCTAATTAACTGTGGCGAGATGTTTAAATACAAGTCAAAAGAAAATGTAAAGCTATTTAAGACGCGTGTAAACAAAAGAAAGTTTTCTAACTTTGTACAAAAGGTTAAGAATTAAATGAGTATGTAGGTATTTGCTGGCTTTTAAAAATGATATCGGAAAATTTTGTAGGAGTAACGACAAACTTTTTGAACAAAGTTAGTTAAAACTATATCCCCAAATATATTTATATGGCATGTCCCGAGCAGTGCTTATTCATTATACATACTACATATTATATTATTCCATATTTACCTCTTGTTACTTTCCCGTTACTAAATGTGCACTTATGTTAGATAAATATTTAATTTAAGAAAAATATAAGACGTTGTGACGTGTGTTATAAAAGTACATTTTTATTCTAAGGATTTAGAGATTGTTTCTACAATTTTGACAATAGTTTAAAGTATAAAATTATATTTATTGCAAAAGCCTTTATTGGCACAGAGGGGTGTATTTAAGATTTTTTTAAAAGAGATGGAGTATGCTTTTTATTATTCAGAAAAAGTGATTTTTATACAAAACGTAAGCTTATAATGCATGCGAGCGACTAGTGAGAATTAATACAAATAAAACAATTCTAGTGTTTTGTCTTTAGATAGATGATTCAATAAAGATTTTTTTAATGGAAAATTTACAAGTTTAGGTATTTTTAGCAAAATATTTTTGTTGTGTACGAGTCTGATTGTTTTAAATAACAAAATGGCTCTCACTTGTAAAGTGATGTGGCGTATTGGAAGAGATTATTGCAGATAACCCAAAAAATATTTAAAAACGTTTATTCATTAATCTCTACAATAATATCTTCTATAGAACAGAAGTATCAAAGTAAGTACCTATTGTAATTTGTACGTCACATCACAATTTAAAGTTTTAGGTACTCATCGGCTGGAGCGAGAGCGGGCAGTAAGGATATGCAAGTGTCAAATATTGCTAACCTTTTACATTCCATTAAACCATTTAAAAAGGCACAAACATATAAATAATAACGTAATTTAAAAACAAATATGGTGCCAATATAAAACAAAAAATCATTCTTGAACAGTAAAAATATAACTTTTAAGTGTTACCTTTCAATATTCTTCCAAAAATACGATATGAAACTGAAAGAAGTGAGTTTTTCTGACAAAGTATGTAGGACCTGAGAGAAATTCAGTTTATTTTGATAAAGGAAAATACACCTAATCACATAACGCAATACGTATCTATATTGCAAAAAGAAATATAATATGAATCGTATATTTACATAAAGCCATGAATAAATAAAAATGTATCTAACTTGTAATGAAAAAAGGCTGAATTTCCCTCAGATGCGGCGCTGGTAACAAATAAACTTCCAAAACGGGCATTCTCTGTGGTGACTAAGCTGTAATAATGTGTAATTATTTAATATTGTTGTTATGTGATAAAAAAAAGACAAGATGTGTTTAATGTTTATCGATTCTGTCCCATTCTGCGATCAAATAGAATTTTGGATAAAACAACGCAAGTTTTAAAATATACCTGAAAAAAACCTTTTCATAATTGGGTGGCTGCAAAATTCTCATGTTTGTCAGCTGTATTGAATACAATACAATACTATTTTACCCTGTAATCGATCTCAATAAAAATCGAGATTCTGTTTAATCGCAAAACGAGGCAAACCTTAGTAATAAAAACCTATAAATGTTGTGTTATCTGCATCTAAACCCAAACTGTCGATATATAAATGCCTCATCCATCATCCTTTTATATTTAAGTAGTTCTTGTACGCATTTCTCGCAGTTGATGAAAATCAATAGGTATATCAACCTATCCAATATTAATCAACATTTAGGTACCTTTCCGTGGTTCCTTCAAAATTTGGGCAACATAAATATGTATTTTTTATAATATCATGAATACCTAAGACTACTTATGTGTTGAAAAAAACATATTTTATTACTATACTTAATCTAAAAGGCCCACGATGATGCGATTAAAAAAATAATGTCTTGACCTACCTATGTATGTAAACTAACGCTCATTAACGTTTTTCTATAATTCTATATTAAAATTATAATTTAGACAATTTTAAAACTTATCTACTATATTATCTTCTTGTAAACGCCTATAAAGATTTTCATACATTATTATATTCATAATGTTGCCATATCAATTGTTTTTCATAGTCTGGAATCCAGATGTTTTATCTAGTTGTCCCTTATGTATTTCAAATAAACGGCCCAGCTATTAAAATTTGTTTTATTTCAATTAATATCATGTAGTTTCTCTCCCGTCTTCCTAAAACAAACAGTATTGAAAATTTGTAATGTCATCGCAATTTGTAGAACTAATGACATTCAATTACCCAAGTAGGTAACCGATACTAAATTTTGTGGATGTTTCGTATCACAACTATTATCAAGTTATAACAGACTTGCATTGTTTCCATAGTTCCCATCATCCTTCTGGGTCCCATAAATTGAGAAATGATTTCCTAAGGTTAGTTCCAAGTTTATAACAGTTCAGTTAGGTACTTACCAATTAAGTACTTACTTAAAATTCAAGTGGAAAGCCACTTGAATTTTAAGCATAAAATTCCTTTTTCATTTCAACATAACATAACATCACGCCCATTATCCCCGAAGGGGTAGGCAGACGTGCACATTACGGCATTTAATGCCACTGTACCATGCACAAGGTACCATGTAACACCCAATTTTCACTATTTTATGTTATGAGTCCCATGTAATAGGTGGTGCAGCCTATTGTCATATACAAGGCACAATTTTAGAGTCCGTGCTACCACTGAGATTTTTTTAAAACCCTTTAATACTTTGCCCAACCCAGGAATCGAACCCAAGACTTCTTGCCCGGCAGTCGCACTTGCGACCACTCGGCCAACGAGGCAGTCATTTTAATTTCAAGTAATAAATAAATGATTAAAAGCATATACCATCAAAGTTTAACGATACGTTTTCAAGAATAGTACTCACTTATTTGTAAGAAAGTTTTTTCAATATTTCATTTCATAACTTTTACATTTATTCACTTTCAAATCAATTTGATCAATTCAATGATATAATAAAATTATAATTTTAGATTGATTTAAATTTGGCGCGCTCGAATTGGCGCCATTTTAATAGATAATTTATGTCGCTTGATATTCTCGACATTCCCACTAAGTCATGTAAAAAATGTAAATGCAGGTTATCCCCTTTATTATTCAATTTATTTGTTTTAAATCATGTTTTTATTCAATACTCCACCTTCTATAAGTTTAAATTACTTCGTAGTTCTTTTAATATGCAATTAAATTGAATTTCTGTATTTTATTCCTCAGCAATATCACCGAGAATAACATTATGTACTTGGTAATATTTCTGAACGAATAAAGTTTTTGACCTTTGACCGAGTGACATTATTATGACATTAACTGACATTTGAATTCGTGCAAAATACGGATACGGACGGCTGAAAAGTTGTGCTGTAATTTTATAACGCTTTCAAGTGAATTATCGGGAATTAATTGTGTTTTTCTGTAGTTAATTATTCGTAAGCATGGTGCCGTCAACTGTGGTTTACGTTGCGGCGGTGCCAATCTCAGTTATTGTTGCGCTGGGTTTGCTTCGCAAGTGGAGGTCCAGGAAATGGGCTACCTGTGTGAGCAATACATGTTTGAGAGGGAAAACCTTCCTTATAACGGGAGCCAACAGTGGCATAGGGTATGAAACTGCCAAGGCCTTGGTTAGGAGGAAGGGCAGAGTGATATTCGCGTGCAGGGACATAGCTAAAGCCAAGGAGGCCATCGCTCTTATCCGCAAAGAACAACCACTTGGCGGGGAAATGGTGAGTGAAAAAATGAGCATTATTTAAATTTCAATTCTTTTTTTCTTTTTATTCAAATTGAATTCGTATTCTATTTTTATTAGCTGACATCATTTTAAAATAGTGCTGCGAAAAGTTCCGCGATTTGTGGTCTAAATTCATGAATGTGTATTTTATTGCTATGCAATAATTTTGTCAGCCGCTAGTAATGATAATCTCTTGAGATTAGATGATCAAGTGTTCAGATGAAATGTTTGTTGATAACTTGTTGCATCATACAAAATGATAAGATTTCAATGAACATGTTGTTAGCGGAAAAGTTGCTATTCAATACAATAGCAATTTTGTGTATAGATTTATATGAAGTCCATATAGATAATATGGTGCATATTATATTTTATCTTATGGGGGTAGACAGAAACTAGGGCACCTCATTATTAATTTAATTACTAGGCATACTTCTCATTTCATACAAATTCATGCAGCCACTTAAGCTAGATGCGCTAAATAACTAAATTAAATCTACCATACTAAAAAACTAAATTTAAACTGTCGAACACCAAGCGGTCACCGGTGACCGCAACCTATTGTTCTTTAATTGTGTCTATAAATACGGTACTCGACGAGTTAATAGTCCAAAAATCAATTAGGTATTTGATCTTATTGATTCTTGCAATTTATTAATGAAAAAAAAATAATTTCATCATCACTAATAAATGTGATAAGAAAAAGTAAGAGCCACAATGACAATAACAAAAAAAAAAAATAGCACCTAATCACAATGATTAGGTGGAATTGGAAATGAAACAAATTATCAATCACACAATAATTGACTAAAAACGAGTTTTAACTTTTGAAACTATATACATATAATTATTTATTATAGTAGGTAAAATGTACAGAGGAAATGTATTTAATTGTTAGCATTTCAACAGGTTATCAGCTTGTTATATAAACAATATAAATAGATATACCATCTTTGTACAATTAACCCCTGGTATGGCCGGAACGTAGATATACATGAGACACAATGTGTTTTCTATTCTGTCGTATATGTCTGTATATGCCGGCAGATAAGAGGTTAATGTATGTTGTGGGCGTAATATTCACACGATATATGTTTTATTAGGAGTTTTTTCCAAAGGATAACATTGAGACCGTATTACTAAAAACCAAAATTAATAACCAGTCTCCATGCAAAATCTTTAGATCAAAATCAACATTTAATACTTTGGTATATCGTACCGAAAATTTGTTCATACGCTGCGCTCGACAACTAAAATCGTTGACGTTGGCCATAAAGCCACAGGCTTAAAGTGGAACTGGACTGTCATGTCTGCCGCATGCCAGACGAGCAGTGGGCAAAGCTTACTACTGAGTGGAGCCCACTTAACGTCAGTAGACGTCACAGTAGGCCTAAAAGGAGATGGCAGGACGAATTAGACATCTATGACAAGGATTGGCCGTAAAAAGCTTTACATAGAGAGGAGTGGAAGGAGGGTAGGGAGGCCTTTGCCATGCAGTGGGACGATCATGGCCGAAAATAAAATAAAAATATATTAATATACCTAGCTAGGCATTGTATTACCTATATTACACCAAACAACAGATATTTGTTTTATGAATGTCCCACCTAAAAGGATGATGTAATATTATTAAACATTAGTTTTTGATAGAAAAAGTTTTCGTTCTTTGTCTAACGACTCTATTGTTAGTTAATCTTGTCAATTGTTACGTACCTATTTTTTTTTCAGATCCCCATGCAACTAGATCTATCATCATTTGAGTCTATAGAGAACTTTGTAGAAGTTGTAAAGGCAGGGTTCCACAAGATTGATGTACTTATCAACAATGCTGGCGTTGTGGTACCATTGAACCAGGACCTTAAAACTAAGGAAGGTTTTGAAATCCACTTCGGCGTGAATCATTTGGGCCATTTCTATCTTACGAACTTACTAATGGATCTTCTAAAGAGGGCTACACCAAGCAGGTATGTTGCAACCTCATTATTATAAATTACGTACTTTCTTAGCACCTTTTTCTTCTCTATTTGTTGAAATAATTTACGTTATTGGTCTACGTGCTCCATCGTAGACCGCATCATCGCTTACAACCAGGCGAGATAGAGAACAAACGTCGGCCCATCAAATAAAAAAACAACGTTTTTAAGTAGGGCACTTGTAGTTTTAATATTGTATAATCTGTTCATGTGTTAGCAATAATTTAAAATAATTTAATAGATTAAATAAAGAGAAACTATTTGGAATTAAAACATAATCACCTAATTAGCTCCCTAATCTATGAATTCCTATACAATAGTTTTATTAGATAAAAAATCTGTTTACTACATAGCTTAACACATAATTATTGTAATAATAATCAGTGAAATATAAATGTTAACACACTTTACAATTACTGTCTCTTTTAAAACAGACAGTAATTGGGATGATGACAGGATATGAAAATTAATAATCTAATTAGTCCGTAAGTTAGGTAATGAAAAAAATATTAGACACGTTTGTTTTTATTTCGTCGTATAATAAAACAATACATAAATAAAACGAATCGAAGTTTGGGAGTGGGGGCTAAAACGTAATTTCTACGAATAAAATGTACGTAGAAGTGACGTCACGCGACATTTCAAATCAATATATCGTCGAAAGTATTCGTTTCTGTAAAAATAAAAATCTGTAATAATCTACCAGACGGACATAAAAATCAGGCATCTACCCTATTGCGTATAGTACACACACAAAATAAGATTATTTTTAGACACTACTTACCATGGAAGAAACCGTCTGTATTAAATCGAAAACCAGGTGAAAATAGACTTTGACAGTGTTTAAATTAATAAGTATATTTTGCTACTATGTTTGCGCTACTATATCTCCTGCGTATTTGGCTGTTCTCCTTGGATTTAGCTGCCATAATCGTAATTAGGTCAGGGATAGTTATGAAACGCACGTGTAACGTGTAGATGTTGTATTAACTCGTTTACATTCGGATGCGTAACCCTAATAGACTGATAGTAGATAGTTAGGTAACATTTATAATATGAGCTAGCTTTACGCTTTGTCTAATGCAAAATTGAATTGAATTGTTTTTATTTAAACTTTGAAAACTTTCGTGGGACAATTAATTGTTATGTTTTCGGCTCGAGGAAGGAACTCGACTAGTTTCAAGCCATACTAGAGGCTCATATTCATTAGCAGCATTCCGCAACCCGCGACGCGGCGACTGTCGCGCTGCTACTGCTACGGAATGCCTTAATTATAAGTTTAAATCCGATTCTTACCTGCCTCAAATAGTTATAAGCTATTTCATATTTTTGTTGTTTATTGTCTATCCGTATCCGTATTGTTCTATAATGCATCTATAATAATTACAATGAATTAATTAATTATACTTAATTATTATATTTAATTAATTAATTATGACTGCCTCGTTGGCCGAGTGGTTGCAAATGCGACTGCCGGTCAAGGGGTCTCGGGTTCGATTCCCGGGTCGGGCGAAATACTACTGGGTTTTTATAAATTCTCAGTAGTAGCACGGAGTCTGGAATTGTGCCCGGTATATGGCAATAGGCTCACCCCCTGTTACATGGGACTCATAACATAAATAGTGAAAAGTGGGTGTTACATTGTACAGTGGCATAATGTACACCTCTGCCTACCCCTTCGGGGATAAAAGGCGTGATGTTATGTAATTAATTATATTGATTACGAGTTACGCATGCATTTCATTTGTATTCACTAGTCATGATGTTTAATTTAAATGTATTTATTGCACTGTCGTTATATAGACAATTGAAATAATGCTTATATGCAATAATAGACAAGAATATTGCAAAAAAAAACTTAATAACACATAAAATCACGCATTTTATCCCCGAAGGGGTAGGCACAGATGCACATCACATTGCGGCATTTAATGCCCCACTACAATGTAACACCCACTTTTCACCATTTATGTTATGAGTTCCGTGTAATAAGGGGTGAGCCTATTGCCATATACCCGTCACAATTCCAGACACCGAGCTACTACTGAGAAATTAAAAAAAACAGTAATACTTTGCCCTACCCGGGAATCGAATCCGAGACGCTTTGCCCGGCAATCGCACTCGCGACCACTCGGCCAACGAGGCAGTTAATAACACATATTTTGCAAAATGACCTAATGACTAGAAATAATTAGCTTTGCGAATGTGAATCGACCCGGAAACTTAACGCCTTGTTGTTTTTCTTATAAATAAATAATTCTATTTGAAACATTATATTATACCTACGCCTCTTGTATGTTATCAATCATCGTGTAACGAACAGAGGCAACAGAAACTCATTAGATAGCCCACAATACTCGTTGCTTGATAATAAATAAACAAACACGTTCTCTCGTCTCAGTGGTTCGCTGAGGGAACGAGATCGCGCTAGACGACTTGTATAGCTCTGTTTCTTTCCCTCAATTGAACCATTCTGACTAGAACGTCATAATAACCCCGCAGGGTCGTAATAAAAATATATTATTCAGTAGTCCAACTTGATCCCTTGATCCCATAAGGCACTTGATACCATGTATTTGATGTACTCAAGACTTAAAAATCATCCACTGCTGTAAAAAAACAAGTCGACCTTTTAAGGGCCTTGTCGTCGTACTAATCCTTTGTTTGTGTGACATAGTATCCCTATCCTGTAATTAAAAATGCAAGTATTAATAAGAATCAATATCATTATCAACAACATATAAGTGGTCACTGCTAAACCAAAGGCCTCTTCTTGCAAGGAGAAGGTTTGAACATTTAATCACCACGCTTGCTCAATGCAGGCTGGCGATTTCAAACTTATAATTATAAATTATAAGCCCAGGTTTCCTCACAATGTTTTCCTTCACCAATTGACATTGGTGTCTAAATAATCTTAGAAAGTACATACATATACATAACTCGGAAACGTCACATTGGTAAGTACTTGCCGTCGTCGGTAGGTTTTAAACATGCGCCCTCTTATACTTCCACCACGACATTAAGGGCCTGTTTAACAATATCTGGATAGCCGTTATCTTCAAGATAAAATTGAATTAAGAACGTAATTTGTATGAACTATCTGTTACATAAGTTTATCAGGTACTTATATGGAGGTAGTGAAACCGGCGCAAGTCTACTGTAGTCTTTTTATTAATACTTGCATTTTATGGTAACATAATTGCTTACACCCAAACAAAAGAGAGTAGAGGTCAAAATGTCATTACTTCATTACACATTCTTGATAAGTAAATATAAAATCAGAACAACACTGAATAGATTATCTTATCATCATCACCGCTACTAGTATTCCTACATTAGGTAACATGATAAAAAATTCGTACGTAATTGCAATTAATTAAAATTAAATAGGTAAACAACAAAATTGGAAAACAAAGAAATAATTGTACAGTTTTCAGATCCGAATTACAAATTATCCGGATAAGTAAGTAGGAAGTAAAATAGTCTTAATCAACGAGCATGCTAGAAAAGATTGATGACTGTTGATGAAGCGAAAGAGGTATTGGCGTCCCACAACCTCTGCCTACCCCCATGGCAGACAGGCGTGAAGTTATGTTATCTTACAACATTATTATACGTAGTTGTCCTTCTGGTTCGACTAATACAGTGGCCAGGTGGCCCCCAGTATATAAACAACTCCCAACAGATGCGCATGAGTTTAATATCTCTAATACTTTCATAGTAGCTGCTCGGGAATACATAAATAATATAAATAACTGTAACTGAAGTCAATGAACTTCTACGTCAGTAACAAACTGGAAATTGCGGAGGTTTTCTTTACGTAAATTGTACTAACATAGATACAACTAATAGGAGGACTTTAATAAGTATTTGTAATGAAACAATTAGATTTTTTGTTAACAATCACATGATTAGTATTCAAGTTTCTAATTATGTCTAACTTCTATTTTAGTTATCTGTATTTGCCTAACCGTTACATGTAAATTCGTTGTTTAAGTCGTAATTAAAGAATAATCTTATTTAATATTGATAATTTGAATATTCATTTACAATACTTACCTACATAGCAGAGTATTTAACGGCTGAATACTGAATTCTGAATTACTAAACTACTTTTTTTCTTTTTTTTTTTGACGATCTGAAAGTTTATTTTTATTATATACAGTCAACTAAATTACTCAATTTTAAGTTGTACTTGAAAATCGTGCCTTCTCTGTCGTTTTAAAAGAAATTCAAGTGACAGAAACAGTATACTTAAGCGCGACTTAAAATTGAGTAGCATTTGAAAAGAGTATTTAAGCGTAAATTGTGTAACACAAAAAAGTTAAACATATTATTCTATTCAGCCCCGTTCTGTCTGTGTTTCTGTGTCTGTCACTTTATCTATGCCCCACTAAAACTAAATCATGTTAGTCTACTAAACAAGGTCACGTAAAAGTAAATCGTGTTTGACTAAATGAATACATTGCATTAGTTATAATTTATTTCCTGTCAATTATAATGAAAGAAAAACATACACAAATTGTAGTTTTGAAAAAATCTTCAAGGATGTAACTCCGCTATCGATTCTAATACAGAATCAATAAAAAATTGTAGGTAATTATTTTTCATTTTTATGTAAATTGCGGAAATCCGTAAGTGCGAACTACGCCGTATTGCACGTCGCCATCTTGTAGCTAGCTTTGTAACACGGCTTAACACACACAAACTTAAACACGTAATTAATATTATTCCTAATACCCTAAAATTCCAATAAGAAACGCGAACGCTCCACCAGCTCCATCCCTAGCACTGTCACCCGCGCCGTGTCACTGAACTATGATAATAATTAGTGATACAAAGTCCATAATATTGCAAACGACTACCCCCGGCAGCACAAACTGCATGCGTGTGCGTGCAACTGCACACGCATGTTCAGTTTTTATGTGATAATGATAACATTATAATAAATCTGTAGAGAGGTCAATTCTGTACATAAAATATATTTAAAAAATAACTATCAAGGGGTGGTTAGGGATCACTACTGATGCCAAAAATGCAATCAGTAAAATTTTTGTCTGTCTGTCTGTCTGTATGTTCGTTATGGAAACAAAAACTACTCGACAGATTTTAACGAAATTTGGCACAATTATTCTTCATACTCTTGGGCAGGTTATAGTATACTTTTCATTACGCTACGATCAATAGGACCAGAGCAGTAAAGGGAAATATTGGGAAAACGGGAGAAGTTATTCCATTTTTTAAAGCTTCTGTCGCGTGTGCAGGCATAGGTTAAAGCTACATAGAAATCATGTAGGACGGAAATATTCTCCTTAAAATTATATAAAAAATATTCCTCGACAGCATATGTCTATCTTTTATGGTTGACTCACAATAACACGTGAATCTCCCGATAACTTAGCAATTCGGTGATTTCTGATTGTATTTGTCTACTCTAACGTTCACAATACTCATTCATAGACTTTACGCTGTAACTGAAAGGCAAATGGTTGAAATTAGCTTGACTCGATATTATAAATTAAAATATGTGAGTTTATGTGTATGTTTGTTACTCAGTCATATTAAAACGACTGAAGGGACCGGAATGAAATTCGGAACAGAGGTAGATTATGGTCTGAAGTGATACATAGGCATACCCCTGGGATCGCGGGCGAAGCCGCTGGCAGAAGCTAGTGATAACATAAAATTTGTCGGTATAGTTCACCTTTATGCCACCAGTTGCAGTGAATAAGGAAACCGAACGAATACATAATATCTTATACAAATATTTTAATTACCTATGTCACTATGCCATCAAATCGAAAATTAATATTGATAATGTTTCTGCTAACTAATTATGATCTTGACCTTCTGAGTTTAATCTTATCAATGCCGCGTCCACCTTGCGTACTTTATGTTTATAAACCGTTTAGCACAACGACAGAATAACAAATATACGATTATATTCTCATTACAGAATAGTAGTCGTGTCTTCAACGCTGCATGAACGTGGAAATATCAACTTTGACGACCTCAACATAAGGAAGGAAGTTGAACTGGCTAAGAAAACTGGAGGCGGTTCTCGTCACAATCCTGGTTACAGCAACTCGAAGCTGATGAATGCTTACTTCGCGAGGGCGCTGGCGTGCAACTTGAGGAACACTGGCATTGATGTCAACCTGGTCTGCCCTGGATTCTGTGCTACCAATCTGTTTAGGTAAGCTTTGAAATGGTTTACAAAGTCCTTTGAATTTGAAAATAGCACCTAAACTTGATCAATATTTCATTAATGCTTACATCTATATTTCAGGCATTCAATAAAATGGTACCACTACATATTTATGGCGCCTATATTGATTGCTTTTATGAAGACTGCTAAACAAGTAAGTATTATTCAAGAAAACTTATTAATACGTTGACCCAAAATTTGTTCATACAAAAGTAGTCTTTAAACATCGGTAATAAGGTCTATAATGAAGTTAGTGGAGAACGATCACTGGAGATCGCTTGGGGATTGAACAGTTAATAACCGTAATAATAACATAATTTCGTATATCCCATAAGCTAGATGGCATCAGATCCTCTGTAGAAAAGGGAGCTACCATTTCGTACAAAAATTACTGTTCAGCATGACTTACGTTTTGTGTATATCTGATCAATTCTATTTATTTTTCCAGGGTTCAGAAACAGTAGTCTTCTGCGCCACAGACCACAGCATCGAAGGTAAAACGGGTAAGTTCTACCGCGACTGTGCTATTTACAACTCTAAATACAACTTCGATAAGGACGTGGAGACCAAGTTGTGGAATGTCAGCGAAGAGCTGGTGAAGGCTAGGAAACCTCTATGAACGTAATCCGAGGAGGACATAGTTGTTTAGTTGTCTATACTCCGTTCAAAATAATATTACACATGAGAAAAATGTTTTTTACTGTCAATTCAGCCGATTTTGACTTTTATTTCGTTGGTAGAATGACGAATGGCGACTGCAGTAAATAGATTGTTTTGTAACGACTTGTTTTACTTTAATGCCAACTTTATGCCTACAGAATACAAGTTGAAATCGCTTGAAGAGACAGAAAAAGGTTTCTTTACATGTCTAATCTTAATGTGAATAGAGTATAGTTTAGTAATGTGAAATGTGCAGTTACACGATGCGTGATTATGTGATAGTAGCACGCCACGCTCTCTTCGTAACGAAGTAATTTCATTTTGTCTTTGCTCAATGTCAGATTACCGTGTACCTAATAGTTTTGACTCCTTTTCCTACCTGAGATTATTGTTTTAGAAGTATGCATACATACATGTACTAGAAGAAAAATATGCATACAAAATGTGTCTAAATTCTATCTCAGTAAGCAAATCTACAGATAGATAGGTTACAGAAAATGGCCGTAAGAAGATAGACAAAATTTACATGAGCCGCTTATATTTATTACCGACTTCAAAAAATGAGGTTCTTAGTTCGACTTGTATGTATGTATGTATGTATAATGTTTGTGCGCGATTATCTCGCGATTAGCTGAACCGATTTTGATGCGGTTTTCAGAAAAGTGTTTGTCACACTTAGGCCGGAAAACTGAAACGTTACTCAATTTTAAGTCGTGCTCAAATATCGTGCCATCTCTGTCATTTTACAAAGAATTTGTGGAGATAGAACTATACTTAAGCACGACTTAAAATTGAGTAGCGTTTCAGTATTCCGACATTAGAAGGTTTTAGTATATTAATTAAACGACTCTAAAAGAGTGGAATTGAAGTCGGGTACTTAAACGTCGTTTGTAAAAGAATTATGTAGATGTAGTAATATTCAAATTACAATGACAATAGTCTTACAGGAGATTACCACAATGATTATTTTACCTTGTACAAAACTGTCTTTTACGTACACGCCATTGTAAATTGAGCCTTACGTCACAGAGCGTGGATGCCAAATAGAAGGGACTGCCTAGTCGCAACGATCTGAGCAAAAAACGCTATTACACGTCGTGTACCCGCACCTTAATATTTAATGCAAATCATCGTTTTGTTCATGTTCCATAAAAAATCGAATAATTGTTGTCTTATTGAATTAAACGTTATAATAAGTCAATACCTTTCCTAATTTGTATACTGCGATGACTTTGAACGAACGTCTGCTCACAAACTCGATTATTTTGAACACCAAAATTATAATATAAATGCAGTAAAATTAACATACAATCGCGTATAAACTTATTATATCGTTCATTTTAAGAACAAGAACGAAACGTTGGATTTCGTTTTGCCAAATTATTATATGTTGTTATCATAATAATATCATAATAAATTAAACTTACGTACACCTACTTCCATTAATATGGTTTTATGAGTTACTTAAATATTTTTTAGATATATAGTCTGCCATATATATAGGCGTAGCAAAATCATCCTAAGGAATAATTTTCCAAATCAATTATTATCAAATTTCAATTATAAAATAGTTCATAATAGTGAGTACATAGAACTGAAGTTTCTGGACTTAATACAAGACAAAGTAATATATTCTTTGGAGCAAAACAACGGAGCCAATAGTGTTTTTTTTTTCGTTTTATCTAGCCCTTTATAACTAAGATTGTTCCTTTTATAACTAAGATTGTTCCTTTTATAACTAAGATTGTTCCTTTTATAACTAAGATTGTTCCTTTTATAACAAAATGCTCTCATTTTAAATGTAACTAAATTGCCTTTTGCATGCCATATGTTACCAATTAATAAAATACTTGTATCAGAAAATATTTATCAAGAAATGAAAAAGAAAAACTGCCTCGTTGGCCGAATGGTCGGGTCGGGCAAAGTACTAGTGGGATTTATAAAAAATTCTCAGTAGTAGCTCGGATTCTGGAATTGTGCCCGGTATATGGCAATAGGCTCATCCCCTTTTACATGGGACTCATAACATAAATAGTGAAAAGTGGGTGTTACATTGTATAGTGGCAATAAGTGGTGTAATGTTAGAAATAAAAAACGATAGTAGCTCCGTTTCTTTGCTCCCAAGTTAAATATCTTATAGATATGATCTATCTCTATCTAGGTCTATCCTAAAACACTAATGTCCATGCGACATTAGTGTTTTAGGATAGACCAGTGTATCTTGATCCCTGTTACGCCTATGTTACGTTGGAAATGGCAGCGGTTGTTATATAGGTTGTTGGTACTGTAAAGCATAATATCTAGTTTTATATAATCTCAGTTAGTTGGATATTGTCGTTGTTTTAACTATATTATAGATATATTTCTTCCGTAGGTTAGAATTTTCTAGAAAATGTGGATAGATTGTAAAATATTTATTATACTATTTTAAAATGGGATTTTGTTGTTTTATTCATTTTGTGTTACCTATACTAAATTATTTATTACATTTTTTTTATGGCATAAGCCGGTAAACGAGCAGACGAGTCACCTGATGGTAAGCAATCGGCGTCGCCCATGGAACACCAGAGGCGTTAGAAGTGAGTTACCGGCCTTTTGGGATTAGAAGTTTGAGGATGGTTGGGGATTCAGGAATTGGGACGACTTTTTTATTAAAAAAAACGTTGCCCCACACTAGGATTTTCTCCTGTATCGTGGGTGGGTTTACAAACATACAAGTTCACATACACATGACACCTAGACCCGGAACAACAATCTGTGGATCACACAAAGAGTTGTTCCGTGCGGGAATCGAACCCGCGACACGTTGCACGGCAGCCAGTTGCCCAGATACCGCCCAACCGTGCAGATTGGGGAAGGGGAGGGTAATTTGGCCTCATGCGTGTTTTATTTGTATGATTGAGATATCGGTGATTTCATAAAGGCAACTCGCCCCGGGTCAAGGTCATAGGCAGTGGAGGAATATGGTGGTTTTAGCCGATAAGAGTCCGGCACGCCCCTCCGTCGTTCCCAAGATGTGGGAGTCCGTTACCAAACCATATCATTATTTCTATCGTCTATCCAAGACGATAGAAATAAAGAAATTCCTGTTTTGCATTTTTTTTTATTTTGTCGTATAAAAATACAATACTTAGATAAAACGTTAAGTTAAGTTAGGGAGTGGGAGATTGTTAGGTACGTCACGCTACCCTATAAAATGTAGTACATCGTGACGTCACACGATGTTTCAAATCAATATATCGTCGAAAGTATTTGGTTAGTTTTGTAAGAAAATAACAAATAAGTGTCTAATGTTTTAAAATAATCTACCAGATGGGCATTACAATAACATTTGGGTTCTACCCTACTATTTTGTCGCGGAGAACCTAACGGGTTACCTGGGCTCCGGCTCGACGTGCAGGAGAAGGAACGGGGTGGTTTTTAGTCAGTAAGAGTCTGACACTCCCTCCCGCCTCACCCAGGCGGGAGCAGTCATACGATGATTTTCCCCCTTAAAAAAACCCCTAATATTTTATTTTTATTGGACAAGGAAGCAAAATAAAACATTTACATGTTTTCAAACCATATATTTAATAGGTACCATGACAGTAAAATATCAAGCTTTCAATCAACATTTACATTTTGTGAACAAATCTCAATGGTTAGGTACACATCACCCAATTCTATGTGCATTAAAATATTTAAATAAAGCTCCCTTTAATAGTCTACCTTATAATTTAAATTTCATTTAACAATTCAAACAAGCAAAAATCACACATGTAAATAACTAATTTAGAAGTTCAGCATGTTCTTAAACCCTATCAATTTTACAAAGTCCAAGAAAATAGAAAATAATAAATATGGAATGGTATAATTAAAAAAAAACGGTACTTACTATGCTTTCTAGGCTAATATGTTAGCAGCAAACTAAGCTACGTCCAATTAAAAAACTATTTTCTTCTCCATAAAAATTCTACTATGTACAGTGGGCGGCAGAGCAACTTACTCTACTCTGTCCAATTTCTTTATTAGATTATCAACGTTTTCTTTATGTTTAGATATGAAGTCGATAATCCAATTGGCACATTGGAGTAGGCTGATGTGCTGGCCACTATGCCATAACGCCAGGATTGTAATAATAAACTGAACGGGAGCCATTAAAAAAGTATGGACTTAGCTATACACAAATATCACTTGAACAACACTCATTGAGGTAGACACTCGAGACGGCAAAATATCAACCAGTTTACTTATACGCCAATAAATCTACCAAGTACATAAAAATATATTATAATAACTATCTATCAATACAAAACGTGCAACGATATTAAATATATATTCTAGCTTCTATTACAGTAGGTATTTATCTTTTAAATTATGTAATATGTATTGTAGTAGCAAATGTAAGCACCCTTACAAACTGACAATATGGTCTAAGTATACCAGTAGTCCTTTACATTAATAACGATAATTTAGTTTTTAAATCGTGATGTTTTCAACCTTTTCCATGAATTTTTTGACTTAATGACAAAACTCTGTCGTTAACATTGTCGAGACTTCTAAACCAGAAAGCATGAGTGTTACATTCTTGAATAAAACCCATTAATTTATTTATTCAGAAAGGTGTCACATACGTATGTAAACAAAGTTTAAATTGCACTGTATTTTAATCTATACAAATGTAAAACTCATGCCTAAGGCTACTTAATATACCTTACATACAGATATTCATCGGACCAAGACAATAATATTAACACAATTTCTTTAATTTACGGCTTAATAATATGGTAACCAGGAAGCCAGGCACTTAGTGAGAATCAGCATTACATCTACGTTATAATGTAATACGTTATAATATAAGATAATTATTTCTAATATAAATAGTTAAATACAATTCATACTAGAACTGAAACTATACAATTTTATATTTGATACTTTTTGTGTGATACATAAATTTTTATTCCTTTTCAAATATTCGACTGTTTATTTGCGTGAATCTCTAAAATTACTACATTAATTTTAATGCAAGGACCTCTTTAGATCCATGCAAATACGAACGTTAATTTCAGGATATTAGGACTACTTTTTATACTTACAAAGAGTATCAAACATGCATTGCAGGGTTACACCTTGGTCAACAATATCTTTAGCTACAATATCTAAGTAATATCAACAGATGAGTGGAAATTCACGCAATATTACAACCATTAAAACTGTCACAAAAATATAAAAACGTATTTCTATGATAAAACCGCTCAACGGCCATGGAATCAGGCATAGAGGATTATCCTCTCGCGTGTTTCTCGTACACACGGGTGTACGAGAGAGTTGAGTGCCCACCGCGCAATTGTACACACGGGTGTACGAGAAACGCGCACCGATTGGATATTTTTTCTGTGACGTATATTTTCAAGTTTGCAACCCGTTCTTTAATTGATTGAACAGAATAGTAAATTCGCTTTTCTATTAGAATATTTACCCGTGTGTACGAGAAGCGCGCGAGAGGTTATAATAAAAACGTCGCAAAAATTACTTGCTTTTTATGAGTGCGATATGTATTTAGTTATCAATACTAATTTATTATTTTATAACTTTCGTAAGACATTCTAAATTAATTATTATGTGTTCGGCTAACTCACGTAACTGTTTCACGAGGAACTCGACTAGTGTTAAGCCATGTCGCGCGACAGTCGCCGCGTCGCGGGTCGCGGATTGCTGCTCATGAATATGAGCCTCTAGTACAGCTTGAAACTAGTCGAGTTTCTCGTTAAACAATTACACGAGTAAGTCAAAAACATAATTACTAATTTATTGTTTAAAACTTTCATTCAATAAGCGAATTTTTAACTCGGGTAATGAGTGCAGTCTACTTATTTTTTATGTATAAGTAACGTAGTGCATGTTCATCTATTTACAAGAATTACTATAGAATGTTTTAAAGTCTAGTTTAAACAGCAATATCATTTAATTTACATTAGCAGTCAATAATCTTAAGAACTGTTAAGTTTTTAAGTTAATATTTCACATAAATAATATGACTGAATGACTTCATAGTAGATTCAATTCAATCGAAGAACTTTAAAGAAATTGATCGAAAAACAGCATAGTTTATATAAAAATAAACATTATATATACATAGGTATATCACACAACACTAAAAGGGACGGCAACTATTTGGATTTTTAACGCAAAGGTAGGCAAATATTTCATTTGTTAACCCTACAAGTGTCTAATGCACGGCATATCAGTGCCTTTAGCCAAACGCCACTTTAGCGCTTGTCTACAGAGAGAGTAGAAAACTAATTGTATGGGGATGACACTGACAAGTGTCAAAATTTACGTCAATTCTTACTAATATTATAAACCAGAAAGTGAATTTGCTTGTTTGTTTGTTTGTTCCGCTTTCACGCCATAACTATTAAACCGATTGCTTTGAAATTTTGCAGACGTAAAGTTAGAAGTCCGGATTAAATAATAGGGTACTTTTTATCCCGGAAAAATTTGATATTCCCGAGGGAAAACAAAAGAATTGGTATAGATGGCGCTGTGTGTATTGGTATATGTCACATAGGCTACTTTTTATCCTTTTGTGACGCGAGCGAAGCTGCGGGTAAAAGCTATAATAATACATATCTGTTTTCTATTCTACACGTAGACAAGCGCTAAATGACATTTGGCTACAGTTGCTGCTTAGTTAGCGTAAAATTTGCCTTCAACACTAATCTACCAAAGTCAAAGACTTAATTCAATCAGAATAAAGTTGATTTTAAACTACACCAATGTTACTTAATGGCGTAACTTAAAAAATGTTTCAAATATCTACATTAGGTACTTTATAAAGTTCCTATAACCAGCTGATCGCAGGGTCAACGGCCGCGTGAACTTTGACTACAATTTTGTAGGTTTATTTCATGTAAAGTCATTACCAACAACTATAACAATTAAGTTGGGAGCTGCCTCTATAATATGGTCATTATAGTCACGAACAAAAAGTTTTATACAAATAAATATTGTTTTAATATCTAGCACTAGGCTAAAAGTGAAAACAATTGCTTGGAAGGATGGATAAGTGATAAAATATCGATAAACTATGTGGGTGACCCTATAGATATTTGATGTTCGATTATAGGCTTTAAAGTAATTTTAAAACGTGCTGTATTTTAGCATCAGTATCAGAAATATCATTAGGTATATAACACTATGTACAAAAGTTTAGGCCGAGTTTTATTATATCTAATACACCAAACTACAAAATATATTTAAAGTACTGCAAAATCAAATTTAACTCATGTTTAACATCTTTGGTCATTTTAAAATCTTTTTTTATAAAGAACGAATTTATGGTTAGCAAAAAAAAAATAATATAGAAGAAAAACGTAAAATTCAATTAAATAATGTATAGAGTATAAAAATCTTGTTTAGCTTTGACTAAGCCGTATGTCTATCTCTGTTACGCAATAATTTTCACCATAAATTAGAAAGAGACAAAATGCTAGCCAGAGCTTCTACTGAGAATATATTACGGACCTAGTATCTCACAGCGTCTGTTAGCCATATAAGTAAATATATTGTAACTTAATAATATTGGAATGTGTAACCAATATTAGTAATTTCTGTGATGTTTGATTCCTTCAAAAATCCCCACAACCAAATTACAAATAGGTACTTACTACGTTTTTACGTATACTGATCTTTTATAGTATATTTAATTTGAAAGACGCATCTAATTATGTTATTACAGCTACATTATTCGTAATTAAAAAATTTTAAGTGAAATTGTCTCGCAAATCCAGACTTAGATAGCATACAGATGTCCCTAAAGTTTAGCGTCACACTTTTTAAGTATTTTAACATGTGCCTAAAATTAACTTCTGTGCAAACTATACTACGATTAAACATTGGTGCGATTGTTTCAATCATTTTTCTTTTAAGACCCCACAATAACGTTCATGAAATTCATTCGATTTAAAAATTTTATCACATCACTATGACAGAGTAAAAATTACGTAGAATAGTACCGTAGTTATTTTAAAAACTGATGTATGTTAATAATGGACTAGACAATGCATTAAGTCAGTTGAGATTCTATTTTTCAAGCCGATATAAAAAACAATAAAACAATCTATGAACTACACATATCTTTATCTGTGGTTTGACATAAACGTACAATGACAGATGTCAAAACTGCCATAGATTAAAAATCACAAATTAAGACTGAATAAAAAATTAAATGCATAACAAAAACTATATAAAATAGGTAATAAAAAGTACTTTAAGTCAATAAATATCTACAGATGTCCATTTTCAACATACCTCAGTGACATGTAATGTTATTGAACCTGTGTGTAGCACCAATAGCTCATGCCTCACTAAAGCGGGAGCAGCAGGTGGCTCTTATGTTTGACGCTGTACTGGAGCCGTGGAGGGTAACCGTGTCAGGGTGATGAAGCATGCCCAACTCTTTTTCTGCTCTTTGCTCTAGGTCTACCCATCTGAAAGTGGTATTGTATTGGTTGGTATATCTGATTAGAGTGAGAATTGAAAATTAACTGCTTTGTTGATGGGAAAATCATAAATCTAAGAGATCGATAGCCATCTTCAGGAAGTCAAGACTCAGATTTAATTCTAAGGTCAAAAAGTTTCTTATATTAGGCATTCATCCGCACACCACTTACATTTGCTTCTCCTTTCAAGTGTGGGAGAGCCAGGCTTCGGCACGAACGGGCCGGTTCGACTGGAGCGATACCACGGCCTCACAGATAACTGACGTGAAACAACCGCTTTGTGTTTCGTCGTGTGAGTGAGGTTACCAGAGGCCCAATGACCCTCCCCCCCCCCCCCCAGTATCCCCAATCCCCGACTCCCCCCAATCCTCAAATTCCCAATTCCCATAAGGCCGGTAAAGCACTTGTAACGCCTCTGGTATTCCAGGTGTCCATGGGCGGCGCCGATTGCTTACAATCAGGTGATCCATCGGCTCATTTACTGGCTTATCCCATAAAAATAAGTTATTAGTCATTACGACTCATGGAGCTGACGCCTTTTAGTTCTGAGGTGACCGAAGCCTGGGTTTGGGTCCATTTTCAGTTCGTAAAGTTTCTAATATACACTATTTAAACATGATAAACATTTGACCTACCTTTGTACAGCCATGGAAAACGCTTCAACCACGTTATTATCATTCTTCGCAGACGTTTCAATGTAAGTTGCAATCTTGTTCTCCTCACACCACTGCTTCAGCTGGTCGTATGTCACCTCTCTATCTTTTGAGGATACGTCTGACTGTAAATTGATGAACAAAATCATATTAATCATGTCAGGTAAGGCGTCGAAGATGAAGAGTGGTTTATTAGATAAAATATGCCGTGTATTCATATGCCGGCTTTTCATAAAAATCTAATTTCAAGAGAGCAATTGCGGATATTCTCGACACACTGCCCTTTTCCAGTACCTAATAATATCTATTATTTGGGTAAAACCATAAAGTAAAGAATATAAATATAACCGCACGATTTTTATTGCTTCTATTATTTTGCTATTACTCAGAACTGTCTCTGTTACGACGAAAAGCAGATATGGTTATGGTTTGTTAACACCCATTTTGCATTAATCTTGGCCTAGGTATAGCCTATTCTATAGAATAGACTACTTATAGGCTTCGCTACAAAGCTGTAACTTGGTTACTTCTTTTGTTACTAACTAAAAACTCAATGTAAAAGTGTTTGGGATTTCTAAACCACTCTTCCGAGCGGGTAGTGACAGATGTCTTATACTCCGTTCTTATCACGCGGTAGGGATTTAGAACACAGAGTAAAGTTTCCGAAGATCGAAAATGGAGCATCCTGCCACCGAGCGAGGTGATCAAGCCTAGTAGGTAAATTTCTATCCATGTTTATTCACGTGTAAACTTGTGGATTTGTGGATCATTAGATTTCATTGACAACTCTTCAATGTGCGTCGCCACAAGTACCTACAAAAGGATTGGTATACAGAAACATATCTACGCTACTATTATACTTAGGTACTACTGCTATAGTGCAAGCAAAATCCGTACACCAGTAGACCAATGACTCACAATCACAATGACCACTTAAATTACAACGTACCAAATGATTTACTACAACGTGCCAGTGATTAGCTTAATATCCCTTAATTAGTTTACGTTACGTAATCTGTATTTAACTAATGACTTCACCTAATCTACTAACACCTATCGCGGCTTTATAGGTACTTCTTACTTGCGTAACATAGTCGCAGTCGAATATCTTGTATTGATTCAATAAATGAATAACGTAACAAGTTAATCTAGTCTGAACTTTGAACAGAGAGTCGAATAAAATGGCATCACCCAAGTCCCTAGCAGCTAGTAGTGGATTGTGGCATGATGGTAAACCATGTAAAATACGGACATTGACTCAAATCTAGACAGTACCAATCTTCTAGGAATAATTAGGTAGTTTCCAGGGTATCAAAATTAAAAATCTAATTAGTCCGTCAGTTAGATAATGAAAAAATATTAAACAAGTATTTTATCTAAGTGTTGCAACATAATACGATATGTTGCAACACTTAGATAAAATGGCGCTAAGTTTAGGAGTGGGAGGTCGTTACGTCAAAACGTGCTACAAAATGTGACACGCTGTGACGTCACACGATATTTCAAATTAATATATCGTCGAAAGTAGGTATTTAATTTTGTGAGAAAAGAAAAAATACGGACATTAAAATAAAATTTAGGAAACTACCCTATTCCACAAGAAAGGAGAACACGCTAGTCTATCTAGTAAATTAATATTACAATATGAATATACATATTATAATTTTCGTGAGACATACTAAATTTATTATTATGTTTTGCCGTTATGTCCCGGGTCGCGGAATGCTGCAAATGAATATGAGCCTCTAGCATGGCTTGAAACTAGTCAAGTTCCTCGTCAAACATGAGTAAGCCGAAAAACAAAAATGTGATGATCAACCCTTTAGAGAACAAAGAGTATAATTTCCTAGGATCGGAAAAGGAGCATCCTCCGACCGGGCGAGGTGATCGTGCCTGGCTGGCTTTCTGCCCAATAGTTCGCATTTGCAATGTAGGATTTTGTGACGTCATCCGTTGATTTGTGACATGTGTCGTCACAACCCAATAGGAAAGAATGGAGGAGAAGTAGGAGAACAGTCCATTTTGCGGGCATGAAAACTCTTGACTAGGGAGTTAAATTCAACTGAAAAGTCATTTTTCAGTAATTCAGTCTGATATCGGTCGTGATAGCCCCTACCGACGCACCCAAAATGCACCTATCTTTCCGACATGGTCGAAACAAACTTCACATTCAAATTCGCAGCATAAAACTGACGAGCGCCATTAGGCAACGAAGTCACGTCATAATGATAATCGACCAGTCAACATTATTTCGTAACTCGTTGCATGGTTATAGTACTTAAAGTTACGTTGTGGTTTCTCATATCGACCGTCTTTGAGAGTTCCCTCGGTCGATTGAACGAAAAAATTGCGTGTAAAAAATAGAAAGTAGGTATCTACTTGCAAATGTTCAATAAAATGGTCATTGTTATAGTTAGAAGGTATATTTCTAGACTAGTCTAGAGTTCGCTTTTTTAAGCGAGAAAGCTAGTTCTCGCTTAAAAAAGCGAACTCTACTCTTATCAATAAATATTTCAGGGTACAAAACTGTCTACACTTTCCTCATTTTATTATAATAACTAGCGTTTACCCGCCGCTACGCTCGCGTCACAAAAGGATAAAAAGTAGCCTATGTGACATACACCAATACATACAGCGCCATCTATACCAATACTTTTGTTTTCCCTCGGGAATATCAAATTTTTCCGGGATAAAAAGTACCCTATTATTTATTCCAGACTACTAACTTTACGTCTGCAAAAATTCAATGCAATCGGTTTAGTAGTTACGGCGTGAAGTCGGAACAAACAAACAAACAAACAAATAAATTCACTTTCCGATTTATAATATTAGTAAGGAAGTAAGGATAAGGATTATATCTATCTACCTAGTCATATTTTTTATTGCCTCGACTCCATTTGAACAGAGTAAAATGTAAATAGAATAACAACCGTGCAACGCATGTATTTGTGTGATAAAATAAAAATAATGCAGTGTGTTATCGCATTTGCATGACGATTTAATCTAAAGAAGTTAAAGACTAAGTAACATTGTACATGATACATGTAAAAGAACTATAATTACTATGACGATGCACAATCTTTTGTTGACAATACCCAAGTCTTAGAAAATGTTTTTATTGAACAAAATCCCCGTCACCACGTCATTCGTATCAAAAACCGCACTGAGCTCGATATTTTGTGAATCAACATTAACCAACTTTGTTTGAAAACAATTATTTATTTCAGACTCGACTCCGTAGAATTAATTAATGCGGTTTCCCCGGGTATACCTATTAAATTACAATTAATTAAAATTGATATAATTTGGTTTTGTAATAAATACATAATAATTATACTTATATTTAAAGGAAAACAGAGGCAGGCGATGTGATGTGGATTTTAATCCAATTAGAAAGATCCTTACTAATATTATAAATCGGAAAGTAAGTTTGTTTGTCTGTTCCGCTTTCACGCCGTATCTACTTTACCGATTGCTTTGAATTTTTGCAGAAGTAAAGTTGGAAGTACGGATTAAATAATAGGGTACTTTTTATCCCGGAAAAATTGATATTCCAGAGGGAAAACAAAAGTATTAGTATAGATGGCACTGTGTGTATTAGTATATGTCACATAGGCCACTTCTTATCTTTTTGTGACGCGAGCGAAGCCGCGGGTAAAAGCTAGTACCTAATAAATAGCAATGCGATTATCCAATTTCACCAATCCTTTTGACTAAACCCAATCATAATTTTCTCCCATAAATCCATCCAATTCCAGGGAAATTTTGTTATAACGTTTTAAATAAACTTTTGGGAGTTTCATATCGTGTATGACCCTCGGTTTGGAGGGGTTCTTTGATGTCCAGTCGCACGCACGAAATCACCGTAAATCACGCAACTAACTTACTGTTTTAATGAACTCTTAAATTGACCTATTTAAATTATATTTATTAGGTACCGTATGTATTATAGCCTATATGAATACAGTGTACATGACTGCAAAGGTTCATCGTGTATCAGATTTGCGCCCGTGACACTTCGATCACTGTGCAAACCACAATAATTGGCATTTGGGGCCATTGTCGACCTGACTGATTTATTGGCGCTTGAAATGTACCATTTTACCTTACTGTGTGGTTGCTTGCACGATGTTTAACATTTAGTAAAACTACTCAGTCTCAGTCGGTCTAATTACTACTTACTTAATTCAATTTTCAATCACTGAAGCCCCAGTTATGTCTATTCAATTTACTTTCTCTGAGCAATCTTAAACGGCCAATATGTTCATTACAAATATCACTTTTTGGTTTCAATGCAGAAATGGAATTTACGACAAGGCAAAGTAGCGATGTCTACTACGCAGCTCAACCTACACGATGTCACGTACGCTAGCTAATATATTTTTTGTTTATCATTACTATGTACATACCTTATTGCCGACAACCATAAATGGGTATCTATCAATGCCGTTCTTCACTCCAGCGTAATGTAGAAACTCATTCAACCACATCTTGATATTATTGAAGGAGCTGCGATCGTCTATGGCGTATGCTAAGATGCATATATCGGAGCCTCTGTAGAAAGGCGTCCTCAGAGACTTGAAGCGTTCCTGCCCTGCTGTGTCCCATACCTGGAAGAGTAATTGTATTGAAATATGACTTTATCAAACAGGAAGACATCATCATCAGCATATGCCTGTGATAATGTACTGCTGGACAATGTCTCTCCTCTGAATGCTCTAACTTTTTTTATAGAATAGGAGGCAAACGAGTAGACGGATCAGCTGATGGTGAGTGATCAGCGCCGCCCATGGACACCCGTAACACCAGAGGAGTCAGTCACTTTTAAAATGGAATACGCTCTTTTCTTGAACGTTTGAAGGTCGTATCGGTTCGGAAATACCGCCAAAACTATAAGGCTTGCCATTGTCTCCAACTTGATTGGAGTTGAGTTTTGGAGATCAATAAGGATAAATCCTAGAATTTCCAAGTAAATTTGGAAACTAGTATTCCTACAGCCTCAAATCTATCCTAAAGCCTATGGAGGTGAATATTTACATTCAGAACAAATTCGTTATTGCGTTAACTCAGTGTTGTTACGAGGTAACTCTTTATCGCGTTTTTCCAGTTAGGAAGTACTTCTTAATCTTACGAGGAGATTATGGCTAAAACTAAATAAAGTTCTTGTTAAACATGTTAGCATCCGAGTGTTTTGTACCATAGATAATAAATCAAGAGCCTTATTTATATTTGCCTTATGTTGTCCATTTTCAAGGTAACCATTATGACTTAGACAAAAAACGCCATGGTTACTCAATGGCACCTGTGTATGAATAAATTGTAGTGTTCTTGCTATAAAAAATGTGACATATAACCCATTTAAGTTTTTTACCAAAGTGTAGTACAGTAAAATAATTCTGCTGTGCTTACAACAGTTTGAGTCATAATTACGATAGACTTAGGATGTTCGCAATTACTCATGCTGTAATGGCCACACATATGGTGTTTTGCAAAGGGATCATTATGTTTATTATTGAGTAACTACTATACTCTATTTGCTTAACGGAAACTTCGTATCTTAAACTACGAATGTTTTGTTTATAAATTCAGAATTGATGCATAGGGACTACAAAGACAACAATGTACTTAATTTATTCTAATTAGGTAAACATTTTTTATTCAGACTGCCTCATTGGCCGAGTGGTCGCAAGTGCAACTGTCGGGCAATGGGTCTCGGGTTCGTTTCCCGGGTCGGACAAAGTATTGGGTTTGTAAAAACCTCAGTAGTAGCACGGAGTCTGGAAATGTGACCGGTATAGGCTCACCTCCTATTACATGGGACTCATAACATAAATAGTGAAAAGTGGGTGTTACATTGTACAGTGGCATTAAGTGTCGTAGTGTGCACTTCTGCCTACCCCTTCGGGGATAAAAGGCGCGATGTTATGTTATGTTTTTTATTCAGAAGGAAAGCCTTTTTTGAGGGGGAAAATCATTCAATGACTTCTCCTCTCCCGTCTTGGGTTAGACGAGAGGGAGTGTCAGACTCTTACCGACTAAAACTACCCCGTTCCTACTCCTGCCCTTCGAGCCGAAGCCCCGGCAACCCGTTAGGCCTTCCGTAGCTCTGTATCAAGCATCAGCCCTACTGGGCCCCATCCGTGGTGGTCTGATGGCTAGCCTTGGTTTGTTTATAGTTCAGAGAGTGTTCAAAATGATTAGCAGCCACCCTTTTTAGGGAGTTAAATAGACTGTGAATTATACATAGGAGAATGTTTATGTAAGAATATGAACGTGAAATAGAGTAACTATCTACCTATCTAAAGTTTTGACAAAATATGTATATTTAAGAATCTAGTTAACTACTTATATATCTTTTAAAACTTTCGCAAGACATACTAATATTTCTTATGTTTTGTGCTTACTCACGTAACTATGTGTCTCAACTACCTAGTTTTAGATTTCTAGAACTAGATTAACTCGTCGAGTACCGGTTTTATAGACACAATTAAAGAACAATAGGTCGCGGTCACCGGTGACCACTTGGTGTTTGACAGTTTAATAATAATTAATGTTGTTATCTAATTTTCTATTTACCTAATTACGTTCTTTTACAAGGAAAATTTAAATTGACCTTTAAAAGATTGTTATCTGAATTAATTACTTTATTAGCAATTTACACTGCTTTCCGTTGTTCATTACACTGATTTATATTTAATTGTCACTTCCTACACTCTTTGATAATAAATTCTACCTTTCTAATGTGTTTGTTATCTAATAGACGAACAATAGATTGCTATAAATATTTTTTAGCATACAATAGTACCTATTTATTATTTTGGTCAAATCAAAAGTGTAGACAATGAAACAATTCTAGCCATCCAACTATTTTATAAAAAGTAATTAACTAGTGAGTCATCAATTTAACATTTTTGTCTATATTTTTTCAACAACAACATCAACAGCCTATAAGTGGCCACTGCTGACTCATTGCGCTTGCTCATTGCGGGTTGGCAATTTAAAACTTATGATTAGAAATTATAGGCTTAGATTTCGTCACGATGTTTTCCTTCACCGTTTATCAGGGATGTCTAAATAATCTTAGAAAATACATAATTATAATTGGGAAAAAGTCAGTAGGTATTGAAGCTGCACCCTCATGCATGAGAAGCTAAATAGCTATGCATTTTATTAATGACTTATTATGTTTAAACTAACTTCTAGCTATCGAAATGCAGGGATAAAATCAGTCTATACCACTCGCTAGCCTCCTAATTATTTTCAGACATTTAAGTCATGTTACAAAAATGATCACAATATCATCTACATATATTTCTATTAAATGCAGATATTTTGTCATGTCAGTGCATAAAAATATGTGCTCTGCTAAATAAGACAGCCTCACACAGTCACACTAACTTATTTACCTTGATGCAGATAATAAAAACCTTGAGTTTGAAGGTGCCACTTTTTGTAAATAAAGGAGAAGTTGAATAAACAATACAATATACAGAGTTTTTATTTGCTATTCTAGTATTCTTGCAGTTTATCTTGTCGTGAGAGATGTGTTTGCTCTAGTTTTAATTATTTAGTTATGGTAATTTCATATTATTAGAATATTATGTTTATTAATTATGTAATTATTTGTTGTGTATGTGTTGATTACATTTTTTGGTAAAGAAATAGATTGCCAATAGTTATTTTGAGTATTTTCTTATATTTTTGTAATTAGTTTTTAAGTTTTATAGTTTTAAATGTATGTATAATTATAAAGTGAATACAAATGTTTATTAAATGTTTATTACCTACTTATTCTTACAAATTATAATTATGACCAAATATCTATATAGATAGATTAACTCGTCGAGTACCATATTTATAGACACAATTAAAGAACAATAGGTTGCGGTCACCGGTGACCGCTTGGTGTTTGACAGTTTAAGGGTGAAACAGCGAGAATTTATATGAAATCTCTTTAAAAATTATTACTGCTGTATTTCTTATTGAAAGATGAATAAAATCATCACAGATAAATAAAATATTAAAATGAATAAATTAATGCAACTTTATGGAAATCCGCATTAATATTCATTTTGAAAAGAAACAATACAATTTGGTCACAATAAGATAATGTTTATGGTCAAATTGATTCAACAGTTATTCTATGTTTAAATCCGACCTCATTACACTATTGAGATCAACCCACACATGCAGATCTACATTTAGATTTTGATTTAGCAGTTTACGAACAATTTTTATTTAGGTAGAATGACCCATAAAGTCGTGGTGGCCCGGAGGTTTAAGACTCCCACTTCTCATGCATGAGGGTGCGGGTTCGAAACCTACCATCGGCAAGTACCAATGTGACTTTTTCCGAGTTATATGTACTTTCTAAGATTATTTAGACACCACTGACAAACGGTGAAGGAAAAACATCGTGAGGAAACCTGGACTTATAATTTCTAATTATACGTTTGAAATCGCCAACCCGCATTGCTCTAACCTTCTCCGTGTGAGAAGAGGCTTTGCTCAACAGTGGGCATTTATAGGCTGTTGATGATGATGATGACCCATAAAGTGAAAATGACTTTACCAAGGGACAAATCCTATTGGAAGCAATAGACATTGTTTGACAAAGGCTTTATACCAAGTGGTCTTGTATTCATAGCTGAAGATTTAGCTTAGAGATGAGCCATTGGAAAGGTATATGCCCAGTTGATGGAAATAAGTTAGTGATGATGATGATGCCACTAAGCTCGCAAGGTATGCCAAAAAAAAATCAATGTAAAAAGAAATACTTTAGCGATTTTGTATTTAAAAAACTGTTATTATTGAATGAATGAATGAATGTCCTTTATTTCTCAGTACATGGTGCACACAGATCTTAAACTGTCAAACACCAAGCGGTCACCAGTGACCGCAACCTATTGTTCTTTAATTTTGTCTATAAATACGGTACTCGACGAGTTAAAATTAACAGAGTTCTACCGTTACCGGTGTAGAAATATAAAATTGTATTAACAATATTAAAGTCAGAAAATAAATTAGAAATGTCATAAAATTAAGATGTCATTATGTTATGTTATCATTATTATCACTGTTAATGGCAATTTAGCGAACTCACTGTCAATTTTAAACACCTATTATATTTAATTTCTTAGAAGAATATTAGCAATAAAAATAGGTACAAAACACTTAATTAGATATTCTAGGCAGCATTTTTTATGATGCATTTAGTCAAGGTGAGCAAGTTAATGTCCAAGGAAAATTACAACTTATCAATAAAATCATACTGTTGATAATACTACAAACAAAGTTACGATTTTCAACCTTGAACAATGTCTTGAACGAATTTTCTTTAATGATTATTATCAAAATGAAATTAGTAAACAAAGTAAACCAATTTTTAATTATTGAAAGAAATTACCTGTAATGTATATGGTTTTCCATTGACTTCTATTGTTTTATTCATGAACTCGACTCCGATGGTGTGGAAGCTGTGGTCATCGAAGTGGTTCGATATAAACCTGCTCATCAAACATGACTTCCCCACTCCGCCTTCTCCGAGTATCACAATCTTCAGCAATGTGCTCTTGTTAGCGGTCCTTCCGTAACCGCGATCACTATCTTCCACCATTATGTCGAACAACACATTATATTCACTAAAACGTTTCTTTATTACCGCAGCCTTGAGTTAAATAAGAGCGCAAAACTACACTGTTTAATTAATGACTCATTCAAACTGATTTCCTATACCGTTACTAACAATATCACTAGCAATTAACTAACGACGTTAGTTAGGAATATAAAAACTAAGATAGATGTTTCCAGATTCGAGGAAATATTTTTATTTGTAAATATTCTCGCACGACGATGCTTCACAGCTGTTCCAACGAATTTATTTAGCAAATGTCAATCAAGTTGTCACTGAGGCTGTGAGGCACCAATCAGTGCTTCGTAAATAAAACTAAACAATTTTTAGTCGATTATCTTTGATTTCGTATTCAATTAATTTTGTAGTTGATGATGATTGCAACTGTATGAATTTCAAGCTAAAGAATAATTATAATTCAAACTTAGAATAATGATACACAAATTAAATGTAGAAAGCCCTTAGTCCCTCGCTGCACTGCAATCGACTAAAAATCTCGACTACTTTACTAAAAGTAATTTTAATTTATACTTTGTATAATAAAATTGAAATATTATTTTTTTAAATCTAAATAAATAAAAAGTAAATTATCTTGATTATTAAAAATACAATTTATTGTTAGTGCTGCCATCTCTTACTTATGGCTTTAAGCATATTCTTGAAGTAGTGCCATCTATTATTCTTTTTAATAACTAAGTAATTTGAAAGGTTCTAAATATCAAAACAAAATGTTTTAGAACAGCACATTTTATGTAGATACCCAATCGTATCAAAGTGACGAATAATTACAAAACCATAGAATACCGTTGTTGTAAAAGTTTAAGTTATATTACGATATATTTTGTAAAAATTATTAATTGGTACATTAACTTTATAGCGACATCTACAATAAATATTTATGAAATAAACGATTAAATAAAGTGAAACGACCATTGTGTTCAGTAACCGCCAGGTGTCGATAATATTTACCTTTTGTTTTGACGACCTCGACTCGCGAGTAGTCGCGAGATGTCACGCTCACTCGGCCGCGCGATACAACTTTATTCCGCTTTGTTTTGCGGAGGTGAGAGGACATGGCGTAGCTGTCGCTCGAATTTGTGCGTTGTGTTCAATGTTTTTCTTATTAAAAAGTATTTATTGAGTGAATAGACATAATAATTTTGTACGAAAAGTGTTTTTACATTCGAACGAAGACTGTGCATGTGTTCGAGTAGATGAAAGATCAGTACATTTGCGCAATAGTTGGTGAGACTTGATGTCAATAAACTTGTCGGTTGTATTTTATGGGAAAGGTGTGCCGCGTCGCGCTGGTACCTGTTCTCGGCGGGTGGGTGCTCGAGGCCGGGATAGTGACTACAAGTTAAATGCAGTTGGTTATTAAGAGCCATGGAGTCGTAGACAGGATCGAGGTGAGTAGTTACGTTTTGTGAATTTCGGTGGAGCAGCGGGCACGGGACGCGGGGCGTGCGACCGCGTGCATTCACCTCTGACCCGCGCGCGGGGCGAGCGCCGCTCAAGGTCGGTGCGCCGCCTGAAGGTCGCTCGTCACGTGACGCGAAGGGTGCTCACCCCCGCCCCTCGCGCCTGCCGCCCCTACCGTGTGTTTATGTTGATAGTCGCGTACACAAGTGTTACCTACCTCATTAAAATCTGGCCAGGCCAAGCTTAATTTTTAAGTTTTTGATAGTATACTGTACTTAAATAGTATTAGAAAACGTATTTTAACTTCATTGCACCTGTATTATCATACTTTGTAATACAAATTAGTGTACTTGTTACAAATTAGTTGTCTGACTTCCTATTAGATTCTAATCCAATAACAAAAAACCCGTAAGCCCATGTAACGGGCATGCTAACTAAATGACAAATAGGAAAGGTAGGCGCTTGCCTCTATTTTTAAATTCGCATTGTCTCATGCCTCGGTAACGCATGCATTCAACTAACGGGTTATAAAACGAAGCTTGGCATCTATTATTATGTGATGAACCTGCGATTCGGTGTGCCATAAATAATAGGTGTTTAATAATGGTGAAATATATCTGGCACTGGTTTTATAAACAAACTTTAACGTTGGACGCGTTTGCAGTTTCAGATTTCTGAATGTGCAGAAATAAACTTGCAATTGTAACAATTGTAACGCGATATTGATAAAGATAAGCAGGTATTTAGGTAGGTATGCTAGCGGACATTTTATCACAGATTTATCTGTGACGTTGTCTACCACTGCTGATGGATAATACGATTTCAATGTTCTAGCCAAGGTAGCAAATGCGATATTCGAGGAATTGTGTATATTGCGCTAAGTTGTTTATGTATTTTATACCTACTTTACTTTTCGGAGCTTATTATACAGATAATATAATAACAATATTGTCAAAAGGTTATAATAGTCGGGTTTATCAGACATAACAAATGCGATTAGTATTAGAATAACTGTTTACCCAAAAGAATCCATTTTTATTAACATTTAGACTTTAACGTTCAAAACTAATTTTCATTTCCCCAAAGCTCCCGAATTTCCTGAAACATTTATAAACGCAACACAAAAATTCTTTTCTGTCTGTATCACATAAAAAGTCTGAAATGACTAATTTTATGGCGCATTCCGAGTTTTAGAATGCATTTTTTTTTGTTTTAAAATGATTTTATCGTTGTTTCGTCTACCGGTGGAACTTATAAAGTTCAAAATGACCTTGACAAATGTATCTTCACACGCAAATATACAACTGCATCTTTTTATAAAGCACCCGTAATTCTGTAACAATCTGGCCTCGCGAATCGTGATCTACGAATGCCAGTAAAGTCAGGCTACACGAGTATACTGCAAGCACGACCTGACGACGCGAGTGCCCGACAAAAAGTTGCATATTAATGTAGCCATAGCTTTATTAGTAGGTACTTATTTATTATTAATTCGATGCCAGACCTTCGATTCTGACTCTACGATTATCATATTAGAATTTAGATTATAGAATTTCGTGAATCTCCCAGATCTCTATTAAAATAAAAAAAGCATTTACTAGAGCCGTTAGTATTTTACTATATTTAAGTAAATAACCTCAATTAAACCAAAGTGAATGCGTTAACATGCGTAAAACGAAAACCTTGATACATTATAATACAATTTATAAACAACGAAATTTATTCCGAAATGAAACCTACACCAATTATCATACTCAATTCAGTTTTGTCATATGAATTTGCATTACCTTGACGGAGTACAGGTACCTATTTCAGTCAGACACACCTTCGTTCACTATTCACTAATGATTTCGTCACAGACAGACTGTGGGTGGTAATTGTATTGGAGATCGGTATCGTATTAGGTAAATATTATATACTGTTAGATTTAAATTAATTAAAGCAGCGGTATTACGGTACACGGCCGAATGTTAAGCAACTGTCTGCATATAAATTAGTCATTACTTATTGGCATTGCATTCGCCAGAGTCGATTTTATTAATGAAAATTATAATTCTACGAAAACTGAGCTTTGGTAGCCATTAAATGGGCATTGCTAACTTGCTAGCCTCATTGGTCGAGTTGTCGCAACTGCGATTGCTGGGCAAGGGGTCTGGGGTTCGATTCCCGGGTCGGGCAAAGTATTACTGGCTTTTTTTAATTCTCAGTAGAAGCACGGAGTCTGGAAATGTGCCCCGTATATGGCAATAGGCTCACCCCCTATTACATGGGACTCGTAACATAAATAGTGAAAAGTGGGTGTTACATTGGGCAGTGGCATTAAGTGCTGTAATGTGCACCTCTGCCTACCCCTTCGGGGATAAAAGGCGTGATTTTATGTTATGTCTAACTTGCTTTTTGATTCGTACATTGTTCTGTGTTCTGTAGCTCATATACAGACATTGGACAATTTTAGTAGATACTAGATTGCTAATTTTAATTATGTATTAACGCAGTAATACGTATTACCAATTGGAAACTTCGCATAAATATTAATATTTATAAATACATACACCACAGACTATAGCCGAGTAATAGTTATGAATAATGTAAAACATTATAATTCATTACGGACGATGTTGTTATGTATTATGGTAATGTTCATAAATTGTGGTCCTGGCTGTTTGGCAACAGTTATTGTTATCGTCTCTGCATCTATCTACGGACCGTTTTGCTACAACACTGCCTGTTTAATTGCAAAATGAATGTTGAAATAGGATCTAAGCTGGCTCATTGTTTGCACTAAGCCGGATGGAATTGATTAATCGCTGAACTACTGCAGTAATAATTAACCATTAACTTTACAGTTAGTGGTCAGGCCGAGTTATTCCTAATGTTATTGACTTTTTACCGATCCACAGCTGTACCGACCAGACAAACAACTTTTAAATATAGAAAAATCAGCTCGGCGTGTTTAAAATACATTTGTAGTCCGGAAACTTTGTATTCGTGAATAGATTTACATAAATAAATAACTGCATATCACGGTATGAGATGCTGTAATACATGTAACTAGCTTTCTAACTTACGGACTGCGTAATTTGTGACTATTTCAGTTGCAATGTAGATCCAGTTAGACATATTCGATATACTGTTTTTTTTTAGCAAATATGTATAGACTTATCAATTTACAACTAAGTTATTAAACTGTCAAACACCAAGCGGTCACCGGTGACCGCGACCTATTGTTCTTTAATTGTGTCTATAAAACCGGTACTCGACGAGTTAATAACAAAGATGTAAATTGTCATTCATTAACGTAGGTAGGTACAACATAAAAAAGAGGATGTAAGTTCAAACTCACGGGGGTATCAGTATGATTGTTCCAATCATGAGTTTATCGCGAGCTCTGAGCAATAAAAATACCATGAATTTTATCTGGAATTCGTTGGTCGTAATAAGATGTGTGAGTGTGTGACGCATCTGATACTTTTATGATTTTTACAGAACGTGAATAAAATTCCGTTTAGTAGTAATAATATGAATTTAGTATCAATTCGTTCACTACCTTGTTATGATTTGTT